TAAATATTGAGTTAGCCGTTTTTAAAAATCGGACTCAAAAATGGCCCGTTTAACAACACTACTAACTTCCTCCCTACTATAAATTTAAGATATCTAATAGACCAGTAAAAAATAATAACAACTGAAAGATGAAGGAAATATCCAAAAAAAAATTGGTTTTATAATTTATATTAATGTACTCTATTAATTCTTTATCAATTATATTATAAGTTCGTTATACCGACAATTTATATCTAGGTAAGTTATAATAATAGTAAAAAAATATATAATATTAGTAAATCACAATTATATAAAGTCATTAATTCTTGTTCTTGCTATTTTTTTATTGATTGAAATTCAAGTTTCCTTTTAGCGCTAACATTATAATAGGCAACAAAATGGCCAAAGTCTATATTATGCAAAGGATGTTCAATTACGGGGTTCGGATATTAAAAAAATAACTAGCAGAGATCCGTTTGCCCAGCTCTTTAAAGAAGTCTAGGGCATGAGAGCCGAACGACGTTAGAGTAGTGGCGATTAATGGTAGGAATGTATAATTTGGGAAGAGATTTAGTTAGTTTATTCGCCTCGGCATCTAGTATGGCATCTCCATTTATATTGAAAGGGGCAACAGGATCGATGCATGAGAAGTCTTAAGTTAGGAATTCCCCCATCTTCCAAGGGATCATAGTTGAGCCATCGGGTCGCTTACCATCGGAATTGTAAAGGCCAGTAGGTTCGAGGGTTGATGGGATGGGGGCGGATTTTAAGGCCCTGGCAATGGTATCATTGCATTTTGAATGTCTAATGAATCTGCCTCTACAGCGCTTGCAGTTTAGAGAGTGACGGCCTTTGGAGTTGACCGACGTTTGACAGATGAACAGATGATATAGTGATAAGGTATTACCATATCGCAATTCAGTTTAAGACCGATGGCGTGACGTAGCTCATCATTGTTTAGGAGCTGGTCAAGGTTTCGGAATGGGAAAGCCTCAAGAAATTCGTATCCACTACCTTCAGAAATGGAGAAGAGTAGATAATGGTCCTCTGGTTGGCTCCTCAATTTAAGGAATGCAACGGAGTTGCCAACTAGAGGTTTATCAATCCTTCTGTAATGTCGACAATGGAAGATCGACTAATGAGAGGGACTTACATAGATCAATTGCCTGTAGGAATAAGGGGTCAGGATGTTTTGTTAGTGTTTGAATGATGGGCTCGCAGGACAGAGGAGAGGATATGAACGCACTAACAGAAAGTAGGGAAGGTGACCTTATACCAATGCCGCCGGATTTGGTTGGTAAGGTAGCCTGTAACCATGATAATTCCCCAAATTTAAGATTGAGGATATCTTCTATTATGCGTTTAATCTCCATATCGTGTGAAGCGAGGTTGACGTCATATTGAAAGATCCATGATGCTCGGAGTGTATATAAAAATTCTCGGAATTAAAAGATAGTTCTTTAATAAGAAGAAAGCTTGGTGAGCTGGGAGGCGAGATAGTGTATCGCGCATAAGGGATATCTCTCGAGAATATTGGCAAAGAACTTGATAAAGGACTCGTCTTTACCTATTGGACTAGATGTGTTAAAGCGTTCAATGGTGTATGATTGAACATAGTATCGTGGTTAAGGTCAATGATCCCAAGAGGACAATATACGCTTTTGTCTTAATTAACTCGAAGTCCCAAACTTTTCTCACTGGATTTTATATAACTTCAGTCGGTGGGTCGCCTAGTATACCATAGTCGATATGCCAGTTATGAAGATTTAGCTTGCATTGATCATTAATGTCTTGGATTCGATAATTAATGCCCAGACAGAACAAATAGGAACCTAGAGGGTCACCTTGTTGTATCCCATCGCTAGAAAGAATCAATCTATCTCCGAATACAAGATGTGAGGGATTAGCATAACAATCGAAGATAAATTCTGAGAATTCTGGGTAGAGGGTTAGGATAGGATTTAGAAAAGCTCCACGTCGTCTTAGAGAGTTAAAGGCGTTCGAGAAATCTATTTTGACTAGGATATCATTGGTGGGGTCCGTTTGCAGATACATATGGGTCATGTGAAGGGATACCTCACAACCACCTTTTACGTTGACCCCTAATTGATTCCGGCAAAGGTGATTGGATATTGTGAACAATAATCTGCTAACTACTAGTTTGGCAGTTAATCGGCGCCATGTAATTCCAATAGCGATTGGGCGAATATCTTTATTGGGTTTATGGAGAGCGATGAGTTTAACTCCGTATAGCAGTGGAATAATGGCGGGTCCTATGCCTCCAGTAAGCATACGGTTGATTAATTGGGTAATTTTTTCTAGAACGTCACATTGTTGTGTTATGTAAGGTGCGGTTAGGTGTTGTAAGAATATTGGGCAAAACCCATCGAACCCAGGTGAGGAATGGCATTTGAAGGAGAGAATAACCTTTCTAACGTTGCTTGTGGTATAAGTGGTCGCAATTAGAGGAGTTTCAGGGTAAGTCGGTATTACATTTTTAAAATCGTGTAAGTGGTGTTTTAGGAGAAGAAGGGCCTGATAACTTACTAAATCGTAGGGAGTCAGCTTATTGTCGGAGGTTGCCAGACGTATGGCGGATTTAACATTCAGGTTATCCAATTTTTTAGATGTTAGCCTGGTCTTGGTGAGCAGGTCATTTTTGTGATTTGTATTTTTATCTGTGTCATCACTCGTAAAAGATGTGGTAATGTGATTGATGGGTAAGAGGTAGATAGTAGCATCCTTAATTTGTTGGGTCAGGGATTTTTTGCTGGCAGGATCAGGAACTTGTAAGTTAGTAAAGGCAAATGACAGGGTGTCTAGCCAGTGTTTTACAGAAGAATAATTATTTAACAAGGAAGTCAAGTTTTTCGACAGGTGTCTCGCAACTTGAAGCCTTGCTCCTTTAGGTATTCGTGAAATTACAAATGGTTTTGGTGTCGTTAGAAATATTTCTACATTTGAGTCGGCTGGGTCAAACGTCGAAGCATTTGTGACAGTGAAGGTAAGGATTATTGGGCTAGTGAGCACATCAGCCAATAATGAGGGAATGGTGACTATGGGTTGTTTAGTTGTAAGGGCAAGGGCAGAGATGGGATTAAGGGTTCTAGGAATTGCTGGTGATAAGATGGGTAGCCCAGATTGAGGACACTTTATTTTATAGTTACTATGAGATGAAATAGCCCCAATTTGGTTACTTTAATAAGTTTATTACATAATGGGCAGTTACATTTGGTAGGTGCTGTGCTGAGGTCTGGTAGGCTCATGGATTAGGAATTTTTATCATATTTAGGGTGAAGGTGAATATCATTATTGTTAAAAATCACAAATGTGTTTATGGATAAATCTAGGTATTGTTTAATAAATTTAAAATTTTCTATCTGAAATGATTTCATAATTTTCATTGTCCATCTTCAAATCAGTTTATTATATGTGATCATGATATGTAAGCTTTGATTGCAAAGATGGTTTTACAATGGGGTAATTGATCTATATCATTAGTAATAGCATTATCGTGCTGTGGGAATTGAGATGAAGAGGGAGAAATACTAATGATGAGTGGAACCAGAGTGTGTACACTTGAACACCAAGATGCAATAGAGTAGTATAATATGCCTCAAGGAGGGAAAATCTTTAAGGTTAAAATTTACAGATATGTTTATGGCTAAATCTATGTATTGTTCTGTATATTAAAATTCATATAAGTAGAATGTGATGAAATTTTTGCTGACAATTGCTATAAATAATATAATTCATTTACTGATAAATTAAAATTTTTCTATCTGGAATATTTTTATAATTTTCATTTTCAAATCAGTTTATTATATGTGATCATGATATAAAAGTTTTGATTGCAAAAAATGGTTTCATAAAGGGGCAATTGATCTATATCATTAGTAATAGCATTATTGTATTATAGGAATTGGAACCTAAAATATTAAACAACAATAAACAAAAAAATGTGATAATATATTAAATAAAGTTATTGTTGTATCAGTCGATTTGTAATTGACAGTTATGGGCGTTTTTCAATATATTTTCTAACTTTTAATTTTCTTTGTTTAACTTGGATATATATATATATAAAGAAAATAAGGATAATTTAAACTGGATCATATTGATAAGAAATTACGTGTTGTAATAGTTATAAAGTAAGGAGTAACGTAAAATAATAGCGCGATACTTTTTTTTGAATGGTAAAAGCTTGTTACCTAGATTTTTATTTTTTTTAAAAACGAGCTAAAAATGTGACGCATTATTTTCTTTATTTTTATTTATTAATGAGATTAGATACAAAAAAAAAACACAAAATTATTTTCAAATCAATATTTCAAAACGGATATAATAAACGAGTGATTGAGGGGAGTAGATCATCGCTCCCCAGTATAATTTTTTTTATATAAACATTATTGTTGTTCCAGCAAACAAACAAAAAAAGATGTGTTAATATTACAAATTATAGATTATATTTTATAAAAGTATATTTAAAAAAAATATATATAAAATACATCATATTTAATTATTATTTTTTTTAAAAGATAATTTAAAATTATTATTTTATTTGTGTTATTTCGCAATTTAAATACATTATAGGGTTAAATACAAAAAAATTAGTTTGAAGCAACAAAAATGTTTATATTTTTTTTTAAAAATGATAATCTTTAAATTGAGGGGAGGGAGGAATTTTTTTTTTCTTGTATGCGAAGAAGTATATTCTACCAATGAGGATATTCATTAAGAATTTACCATTTTATCTCTATTTTTTTTTAAAGAGGGTTCCCTTGTTTTAATATACAGTTATTATATTAGATTTAATTTTGAAACATTTCCATATATTTTTTTTAATTCGTTTGTTAGAAATAAAATTATTTAACTCACAACAAATTTGTTAAAATAACATAATCTTATCAATTTTTTACAAGTTAAATAATGGAAAATGTTTTAAATTAAATCTGCAACAACAACATGTGAAGGTGGTTTTAATCATATATAATTTTTTTTAAAAAATGAACGAGATGATTGGATGGTTATAAAATATGATAAAAATATTTACAATATATATATAAAACAAAAAAAAATTGTTTTGATTCATTAATTATTTTAAACAAGCATATATATATATATATTTTATTTAATTATTTTTTCAAAAAAAATAAAATAAAAAATTTTAATCACAGTCTTCATAATTTTAAAATAGTTTCATAATATAGTTATATAACTTATAATATGAAACGCGTTATTTAATTATTTTCATTACTGTTAGTTTGAAAGAATCAATTAAATAGGTATGATAGTAAATGCAAAAAATAGGTAATAGTTTTAATTGATATACTTAATTATATAAGTTTCGTATGTGTGTAGGGGACGGGTAAGGGGAAGTGGTTAATTAATTAATTTTATTATAATGTATACTTTTTATAAAGTTCCATTTCTCATCCAGGGGGAAAAAACAAATTTACTTTTAAAAAAAGCGTTTTTTAAAAAAAATATCTTCGAAAAGTATTGTTTGTTTTGTTAATATAAAAAACATAACAGTTTTTTATTTTTTTGCATCAAAAAATGACGGCATCTTCCTCTTTTTTAGGAATTTTTAAGTAAGTTATTTAGATTGGCCTTCATTCTTTCAATTTGTAAAAAAGGACGTAAGACGCGGAGCTTATGAGACATTTTTCGTCGCGAATGTCGGACACCAAACTATCGTCGAAAGATCTCCAACCTTGTTTTTTTTAATATAAAAAAAATAATTTTATCATAATTGTCAAGTGAATGGGTGCCATTTAAATTTTTTTATTATATATTAAAGTGGGCTAATATCCTCGGGTAGGGTTTTAAAATTAATTTTTGAAAAGCTGATCAGACCCTATTTAACAACCGACTATGATGCAATACGTTATATAACTTGAAAATGACATGATGGATCATTTAAAACATTCATTCGCTTAATCGTATTTTTTGGCCATATTTTTTTTATTAAAAAACCCTACCGCCATGCTTTTTATGTGTTTCGAGGATAAATTAAAAATAGAGTCCGGAGAATATATTTTAGATGTGATGATGGCGCTAGGTAATCTCCAAAAATGGAGGCCCGTAAAATAAAGAACGAATAAGAAAGGGGATTATTGGCCCATCGTGATTTGAATCTTATGCATCAAACCTTCTATATCGGTGGTACAGCACAATAATGCCAATTCCATTTGGATAGACAAAGTTTATCTAAAAGTTGTTTTTTTTTTCGAGAAACTTTCACTTACTTCTATCCTTTTTTTTGCAAGTAATTTTTAAAAAAAAAATATAAAGTAAAATTATTAAATTTCAAAATTAATATAGATCTTATTTCTAATGATGCACTGACTCAACACATATATATTAAATAAATTTGAATAGGACGAAATATTTTTATATAGAGGACGAATATTTATATAAAATTGTTTCATATTTAATTTATTTACAAAAAAAAGTATATAAATTTTTTAATGTTATTTTTTTTTGAAAAATAAATATTTATTTTTGCGATAAAAGCTGTGATATAGTAGGTGGTTAAGCCGATTCTTTAGTATAATGGGATTTGATCTTTAATCCGTGAATACATAAAAAAAATAAGTGCAATATATTTACCCAATGGTTTGGCGTTGAGGGGAGGAGAAACGCCCCCATCACCCAATATCCTAGCGTACGAGGTGTAATGTCCGCCCAGGAGTGTTCCGTGATGGTTGATGACTCCGTAAAGGTCGTACAGGGGCTTCTTAGTGGAGGGGCCCTCGTAAACGTCTCGCAAATCGAGATTTCTGAGGTAATAATATTATTTATTGTTTTTTTAATTTTAATTTTAAATGCTCTTAGACTAACAAATCGTTTCGATATTAAAAATATACTCAAATTGAACCTCTTTTTTAAAAAAAAATTCCATTTTTTTTTTATTACATTTTTGACTTCAAATCAATCAAAAGGTTGGCTGTGTATTCATCGAATGGTTCTAACTTTGAAGGATGTATTGAATTCTCGATATATTTTAGCTAAATTTTAATCGGAGGGAAGATTATAAACGTTATCCTAAAGGCCAATTAATTTCAGGAAAAAATCTTGGTAACGAAAGATTAATCTTATTGGACAAATCCTTCCAATCCTTCCAAAGAAACGCAACGAGTGCATTCGCATAACCTTAAAATCAAAAAATGAGAGCACCCTTTTCTTGCTCGCGGAAAATAAAAATAAAAACCTAACTCAAAAGTGCATCTGTTAAAAAAGTCGATTCGAATGACCTTTAGAGATTTAAATCCCAATAACAGTTAACAAATGATCGAAAAATTGTGGGCAATCCACAAAAGAATGAACGAATGTTCCAAAAATTAACCCCGCACTCCCCCCCCCCACCCATTTTCTCGCGTAATTCCCATTGCCTCGACAACTTGCATAAAAAGGTCAACTAAATTCCCGAAGCGAATCGCTACTAATAATTCGTCACGACGGCCCTGCTTAGGACACCAATCAAACTCGGTACTAACTAAATGCCCGTTATTCTTCGAATGCGGTCTACAATGACCCGGGCAAACTTGGCCCGAATACTCGACAATACGAAAATGTAACAAACTATAATACGCCCTCTATCAATTTAAAAAAAAATCATATTGAAGAGTCGTAATAGATAACATAGTAGCTCCGAGCTATCGATATTGGATGAGGAAAACGGAACGAAAACTTCTTAAATAGTGTGCAATAATAATAACAATTGTGGAATTTATGGTTCTACGGGCAGAATTCCTTATATGATGATTCTTGGTACAAAAAAATATTATTTTCTTTACTCAGATCCAAAAACTTTCGTATATAAAAAAAATATAATATCTTTTATTTCCTATTTCCTTCAAACATAATAAAAAAAAACGTTATTTATTTTTTAAAAAAATACACAACACTCTCCAACATCAATCACCATATCTCTCCATCATATACTCATAATTACAACATCTCCCCGTATAGATCGTGTTATAACGGCTCCAAAACATCCCAGTTCCAATGGTCAGGCCGAGAGAATGGTTGCAATGGTGAAATCGTGGTTGAAAAGGAAAGGAATGGTGACCATGAAAGATGGTTATTGCAATTGCTTCACAATAATAGCAGGAATGGGGTCTCTCCGACGGAAAAATTCTTGCGAGGAAAGACATTTTTAATGCTGGACTCGTTAAAGGAGGGAGGAAATGAAAAGGCTGGATGTGTAGTGAAGTCTACTAAATTTTGCTTGGACAAGTGCATATTTTAATGTTCAAGGGGAAATTCAGATAGACGAAGGGAAAGGTGGAAGAAATAATTGGGCAGTGTCAAATACGAGGTTAAAGATGACGATGGAATGGTATATTATAGGCATCAAGATCAATTGAGGCCGAGGGAGGAAGGTAAAGGAGGGGAGATGTTGTGATTATGAGTATATGATGGAGAGATATGGTGATTGATGTTGGAGAGTGTCGTGTATTTTTTTTAAAAATAAATAACGTTTTTTTTTGTTTATTAAGTTTGAAGGAAAAAGGAGATATTAATATTTTTTATAAGAAAGTTTTTGGGATTTAATTGTAAATTAAATAAAAGAAATTATATTTTAAGAATCATCATAATTGGAATTCTGCCCGTGGAATCATAAATTCCACATTTTATTATAACTAAATTATGACAACAACAATTATCGGATTCGTATCGAACCCATCCCGAATAATCAACGATATTCCAGTTACGCGAGAAGGTAAGAGAGTTAAAGCACGGGAAAAAAAATAATCCTCACGAACACCCTCGAATAAGTGTTGTCAAAACGGCTAACTCAATATTTCATCCCAGAATACTATTCTAAGCGTGCCCTGAAGATTTTGTTTGTAGAAGGAACTAAGGTTTGGACATCTATTAGCGAAATCTCGAGGATTAGGCAATATTTTTTGTGGCTAAAAATATTGATACGTGGATAAAATATGATCAATGATCCTGTTTGGGTTGTCAATCGCGTACAGATTCTGGTAGGACGCATGCGTTAAATATCTCGATTTCCATCCCGTTTTTATCTCAGTATTTTACGCACATCGTTAGAGACCTGCGGGTCTGGATCCAAAGCCCGATCCAGGAATAAGGGCAAAGCTTTATAAATAAGCGGAGCCAGCCCAAAATTTTTTTTTTAAACCAATCCGGGCTGTCCAATTGGAAACCTGCGCAGATTCCTGATGATATAGATGTAACTTTTACGTTGGGTTTTTTTTCTCACTTTGTTTTTCTTGCGAACATTTATTTTTTTTTTTAGTTTTGTTTGAATAATATGTGAATTTTTTAAGTAATTTTGGTGATATATATATTTTTTTTTTAAAAAAAACTAAGAAGGAAATTTTATAAAATTTCGATGTTTGTAATAATTGTATAAATACTTAATAAAACTTGGCAATAAAATATATAATTCTATTAATAAAACGTGTAAAAAATTTATTGAAAGGAAACTTAATAATTCTGGTAAATGAACGAACAAATTTCGTATTCGATATGTAAAAATGAAAAGAATGATATGCTTAGGATGGAAAATTCTATGAGGTTGGGAAACAGGGTATTTCAGGATTTCTGTCTACAGCGTTTGTCGAGGGATTCCCCCCCACCCCTGTTCTACCCCACACAAAAATTTTTTTATTATATTTTTCTTTAATTAGTATAATATTTAAAGCCATAATTTTCTTTTATTTCATCCCTTTAATTTTATTTTTCAAATTTACTTTTCTTTTCTTTAAAATAATTTAATATTTTCTCTCTCACAATAATTCACGCCTTTGACACTTCGCCTTCTCCCATTAAATCCCCCTTTATTATATATAAATAAGAAATGCCAATCATTTTATATATATATATCCAATCCCAAACTCGATGGGGAACGTGATCAATTTATCCAATTTTTCCCGCCAATAGTGATTTCCGTAAGAAAACCGTTTGAATATGATCACCAGAATGCGAGGAAATTTCCATAACGACATCGTTTTTTCGGCTTGTCTATGCGTTTTGCAATTGGGACAATACCTTTTTATCGATTGTAAAAAAAATAATATTAAATTATCATAGCATCTATAAATATTTTAGGTCGCGTGATATTTCGAATCGAACGGATTAGAAAGAAAAAAAAAATCTCAAAATGGCTCCCAAAAAAAAATTACAATCATTCCTAGTGGGTACAAAATTATTTTGCTCTTTTTTTTACCAGGCCTCCTCGGGGGTCAAAACTTCTTTCTTGGAAAATAGCCTGAGACAATTATGCAGGGTATTTTCGTCGTTCGACGGCACCGAACATTCCCTGCTACCGCGGGTAGACGGACTACATCCATCCTGTTCGCAAAAGTGGCAGTTTTGTTCCTGTGTTAATATATATATATATATTTTATTAATTCTAAATAGTCAAAATATCGTAATGATTAGGGCAAGGAAGGATATTAATCTAATTAAAGGAATGACAAATCCTAATAGGATTTATTGTATTGCTCGACATTATTTTTTTTAAAATGTATTAGTTAAAAAAAAAGCGATGGGGTGAGTGTCACGACTAGGAGGAAATGAGGGGGTTAGCAAAGCGCCTTCGCGAATTACGTTCAAAGATCGTACTCTGGCATTGCATTAAAATCACCGTTTAAAAAAAATTAGCGGTGTTCCGTTCCGACGCGATAAAAGATGCCAATCATTTTTAAAGTCCCTTATTGACACGATTGTTGGATCAAATGTTCAAAATGGGGCATTCAGATGCTATAAAGATTGGAAGGGTACTTAATGCGCGATGGGTTGTCTATCAAACTTAGTACGGTTAAAGTAGTTTTAGAAAATGACTATGATTCCCATGTTAACGCCATTTTATAAATTCGAAGAATATCTAGCATCAGGAGCAAAATTTAACGGGATCTCCCACCCCGGTTAGGAAGTCTTATCAGATCTCGCCTTGGACGTAAGCTGTTCTATTCGAATAATCAGATCTGTCTTTAAGGCTTCGAGACAAGAACATTCAGGTTACCTAAACGCCGAAAACCAATCAAGTGAAACGATTAGTGTTGGAAAATCGTTTATGACCTAGTTAGGTTTCAAATCTCTTTTTATAATTTCTAAATGAATGTTTATTCAATATTTTATAGCTTGAGAATTAGGTTATATCCACATTTTTGTCAAAAGTGACCTTTATCACAAAAAATCTATTTTTTTTTATATAATTATAATTTTTAACTTTTAAAAATTGCTTCCTACTATATAAAATTACAAAAAAGTGAAGATGGAATAATCTAATTTTCAGGGCGACTATTTTCTAATAGGAGAAAATAGAAAAACATCTCAAGAATCCAAGGGAAAACAGAAAGTGCTCTGGGTATCGACGAAAATAGGACATGCAAAAATAGGTTGGTAAATCTAATTCCGATAATTTTTTTAGTAATTTAAAGATACTACATTCAATTTTCTAAATTGTAGTTCCAAGATTTGCAGCGGTGATACGCTATTTCTCTAAAGATAAAAAATGATAGGGGCAAGCTAAACTGGGACAAAAAGAGGCAAATTTATGATTCATTGCGAGTCAAATTTTTTTCTTTATCTTTTTAATAGTTTAGAAGCATTCCATATAAAAATACGTTATATATATATATATATAATAATATAATGCATAAATCAGTTTTCACCATTTTTTTTAATAATATTAACTGGGCCCTTCCTTGATTGGTTAATCATTTGCGGAGAAGAATTCCGCTGACCGGGAAGAGAGACGTTAACGTTTATCATGGTTAAACTGGAAATATCTTTTCATCGTAAAGACCTGCAATCATGTCAGTCATAATGACATTCATAAGGCGAAAGCCGCACTCACATACAGCAGTGCTACGAAATGTTTTAATACAATTTTTGATGTATCATCAATATATTCCCTCGTTCCTAGTGTTGTTTAAAAAAAACCTGATTAGGGGTCTATTTAAAAAAAACACCTCGATTAAGATTATGACCAAAATAACATTGACTAAGCCCAAAGATTTCCCTCTTAACTGGCAAAAAAATTGTCAACTCAATGCTCAACTTAGCTAAAATCTTAACCCAAATTGGGATTTTTAACAGCACCACTTGGTCCCATTCATAGCTTAGATCCACATCGAGCCTTCAGTCTAAAAAACGAGTTCATTTAATTTACTCTTTCACCATAACCAACGTGTGCGAGAGTCTGCCAGCCAGTTATTTTCATCCTAAATATTCCATGTCAGATAAGCTTGCTTTGAACTTGTATAATTTTCAGGAGATGTTCCGAACGTGGAATAAATGGTTTTATGCGTTATGGTAATACCAAGTCAATGGTGGTGTTAGTGTTAGTTATTACCCGCACCAATCAAATGACCCGACTCATTCGGAAGATATATTTGTAAAAAAAACCGGTGACCCAAATTATAGCGAATCGATCTACTAATTGAGTCAGACCGGTTAGCTCGACCCGGTTGATTAGCCACAATAAACAAACACGAACGTATAATCCTGAGTATTTAAGAAATCGTTAACGGATATTAAAAAAATATATATAAATAAGATTTTTTTTTTAAAAAAAAAAAACCAATTCCTTGTCGAATATCTTATAATTTTGGGCCGGATTCGAGGGCGTCAGGTAAGAACCAAATTGACTTTTGCGTGACGCGCGCTCATCGCTTTCCGCGTTCGGGTAGTAATGGGTCATCCATTCCACGCTGATGCAATGAACCTTGGTTAAATCGACCGTTCCTTCGTCTGTAAAGATACATTTCGTAAAAAAAAAGAAGAAGAAGATGGGAGGAAAGAATGCAAAGGCCGTATTCATAGTGGTATCCGATCCGACACGATTTAACAGCTGATCGATTTTTAAAATCGGTTTATGAGATCAATTCATTTTTATATAATATTAATTTTATCTTTAATTCTATACATGATAGTAACCTAAGAAATATTGGTTTTATAATAAAGAAAAATTGAATCTCATAAACCGATTTTAAAAATCGATCAGCTGTTAAATCGTGTCGGAACGGATCCCCAGTATGAATGCGGATAAAGTTTCGGGGAAAAATATGTTATTACGCAATAACAATTTTAAGCGATTTTTCTCATTGTTAAAATAAGAAGAAGTGACAAAACAACTTAATAATAGCAGTTTTGCCTTGTAAGTGTCGCAAAGCACCATTTTATCCCTCCGTACCAGAGCATAGTAGCATCCATATGTTTCGTATAAAAAAAAATTTTAAATCTCAGGGGACCCCCTAAATGAAGGATTTTAACCATTCGTCAAGCAGATTTCCAGGCAAATCTGCAGGTCCTACATTTTTTTAAGCATTCACTCTTCTCTAGGGTGTGATAAGTATCTTTTTTTTAAAATAATTTTTTATCATCTCTCAGTTCTCTTTTATATATATATATTTTTAAATATTGATTTTTTAAATGTGGCTCCACTCGCGAAAATGTTTAAAAATGAGAAAATCGAACATTAAAGTTTTAAAAAATAAAATGTATAGGAAAAAAAAAGCTTATTTATCAATTTTGACAGAGCTCTCTAGCTTTGGCAAAAAAATTAATATTTTTTTTAAAATCTAGTTTCAAAGATTATTATTCCGGCAAAGTGTTTATTTTTTCAACTTTTAAATCATGTTTTTTGGGGCGATTTTTTTAAAAAAATTTAAAAATCTGATTTTACCGGAAATGTATTCCAGCATGCTTGGAATCCTTACCCTATAAAATCTCGGACAATCTTTCCAAGAACTTTTAAATTTGATATCTATATAATTATAAATGACTCAAAGGTTAGCAGCAGAAAGAAAGAAAGTAGGAAAGAAAGAAAGAATGAAAGTAGGAAAGAATGAAAGTAGGAAAGAATGAAAGAATGAAAGTAGGAAAGAAAGAAAGAAAGAAAGAAAGAAAGAAAGAAAGAAAGAAAGAAAGAAAGAAAGAAAGAAAGAAAGAAAGAAAGAAAGAAAGAAAGAAAGAAAGAAAGAAAGAAAGAAAGAAAGAAAGAAAGAAAGAACCCCTTTTAAAATATATAGTTTAATATTTTAAAAGGGGGGAAATACGAGTAAAAATAAAACTTGAAATTAAAATTAAGATAATTGATAAATTCTCAAGAAACTCGAATGAACCCTATTAATTCTAGTAAATTAACTTCACAATCTTCTTTTTTATCTTCCTGATCATTAATAGCTTTTCCTTGCTCTATAGGATTTTTCTCTAGAGCAATAATTTTTTTAATATCTTTTCTTTTTCGTATTAATACTAACAATAACTTGAAATTTACTGTAATAGATATTTGGTCAAAAAATAAGAATAAGGGCAGCATAAAACCAAAGATATCTTTATAAGAAAAAGTTTGGTAATTCAGTTAATAAAGTTTCTAGTTGATACAGCTTCTAGACAAATTGGCATGAATGAGTGGTTTACTCCGCACCGTCGGGGTATACCTGCTAATCCCAAAAAATGGTGTGGAAAAAAGGTTAAATTTACCCCGATAAAGGTTAAGAAAAATTGTGGTAGACTAATTTTTATAGGGGTTGAAACCCCTAATACTAATGGTACCTGGATTTTGGATTTAATATCAGAGGAATTTCAATCACTTGAGCTCATCACTCATTTTTTGCAGTGAAAAAATCCAGCTCAGTGACGTAGTCAATTTTATCGAGGCTAACCCTTCATTTCAGATATTAATAAATCATTTTTTTATAGTGGTCTCTATTGAAAATAATATTTGAGAGGGATTTTTGTTACGCAATCTTGATGGCATCTATGAATGGCTGCACCAGTCCAAACCGGAATTAACTTTTGCAGTGTAGACATTGGTACAAAGAACTGCCAGCCTCTTATTTTTGATCTTGAGACAAACCAAAGATAAATATTATAACTATACAAACCGACCATTAAATTTATCCATGATTTGAGTTCAGATCGGCGAGAGCCAGATCGGTTCTGTAATTCTACCTACCGAGAAGGCTTTAACTCTGTAAAGGAAGGGGATGCCGGAGCATCTTTTATGTTTATTTTTATTTACCTGCACATCTTTCGTGGTGCCCACCATCCTTTAATCTATTCCCAGAAATTATTATTATTTATAATTTTAGCAATTTATAGGATAATTATTCTAATAATATTCTTTTAGGGAGAGTGATCACGTCAAGAAAAGAAAAGAAAGAAAGAAAAAAATTGTCTACAATTCATAAGATCAGGTTATTCTAAAACATGATAGAATAGTATTTACGGTTAAAATCAGATTTCTTAAATTTTTTTTAAAAAAAAAATGCGCTCAAAAAAATGATTTTAAAAGTTGTAAAAATTAACACATTGCCGGAAAAAAGACATTGACGCTAACACACACACATATATATAAACTGTGGAGATATAACATAGCTTAAATGGGGGCGAGTCGGCAAAACCACCTCGTTATTATTTATTTTTTTACACTTTGTCATTCAAGGGGGTTTTTGTAAATGCATCATTCGAAAACCTACAGTGAACCATGTAATTTATATTTAAGGAAAGAAAGTAAAAAAGAGTATACCTATAATGGCATCCTTCTCTGGTGATCGTGAATTGTAATCCGATCCTTTGATCCTGAGCCTGAAGGGTGGATCGTTGGAGGAGTCTATAAAGAATTCTGAATCGGGTGTTGGGGCCCTGGCATCGATGACGTTAGTAGTTTCTGTCGCATCTCGAATCGGTAACTTTTAAGGTAAAAGAATAGGTCATAAATAGAGATGATAAATATATAATCTTCTCAGGAAAAAAAAGATGGTCACCTGTTAAAAAAAAATTGGTCAGCTGATACTGGTAAGGATAATTGGTTGGATGACATAACGATCAACTGATCAGAAAAATATGCCGCATCCGGTTTTAGTAAAACCCAGTTCACCTTCGGCTTTAGAGGGAAATACAAATAGAGGAACGGGAAATTGGCCTCAAAAGAAATAGGAGAATTCTCACACGTGATATACTATTTCGTCTTCTAAAATTATGAATGGGTGTTAAGAGAAACGCCTTTCTTTTGGGCGTCTCTTGAAAGGCCAATTTTTAAACTCGGAGCGTATATCGCATCAAACGACAAGCTAATATCTCTATTTTTTGACCAGTAAAAAAACTTATATCTTTATTCGGCGTTATGTAAAATGTAAATGATGGACAAGCATCTATCAAATATAAACAACCGGGGTTTGAAAATTCTTTAAAATAAAAATTTGTTTTATCTTTACCTCCCTCCTGTCAAATTCCGGGCGTTCTTCCCCCGGGAAACCTTGGGAGTCTTTGGTGGCGTCTATATCGTCGTTGTAAATGGTGGCTTTCTCGAAGAAATTGGTTTCCATGCGTTCTATCAAAGACACGCCTCCCATAAGGCCCGGTCTGGCATTGGACGAAGTTGTATTGGCATTGTAATTGCGGTAGGAGGAGGAGGAGGTTTGAGACAGGTTAAGTACAAGGGAAGGAGGGTATGGTTCGAATCCAACGGAAAGGCTTTATAATGTACGTACACGCATAATAAATAATGATAAACATTTTTTTTTATAAATTTTACATAGATATTTTCTCAAACTCTTGTTAAAATAGATAATTAGGATTTATGGAAGAATGGGTGCTAAGTGTGGCACAATCTCCGATGGGATCAGAGGGGACAGCTGGTTTTTTCGGGGAATAGGTGATTCTCCTATCGAGATTTAGAAGCTCTTTTACTTTTTTATCAGAATCCTTCCTTCCTTTCCTTATTAATAGCACTTATTGGCTATTCTCTCTGTTCCATTTTATATTTGGGTTCTCTTCCTTTATTCAAGTAACCAAAAAAGATTACATCTGACTCTGGATGATAATTTATTTTTTTTAGAACGCACCATGCCATTTTAGACACCATCTTTTTGAGGCGGGATAAAGTTAAGCCCACGGCGGGAACGTTCAACAGGAACGGTTTGCCTATCATTCGCCTCCGCCATTGGGAATCACCGCCATCTTGTTCGATCATATGGTTCGACGCGTTATCGCCGTGGCAGGATTCGTTGTTCCCCGTTTTCTGGTGTATGTTTGAGTTGTATACCCCTTTTTTTTTTCATTTTAAAAAAATGAATAAAATATTATTGGGTGGGGGAGTTTAGAAAAAAACCAGGGTTAAACAAAAAAAAATGGTTCTGATTCGTGATTCCGTTCATCTTCCGGTTAATAAGATTTTGGGAAGCGGGTTCCACTTCCGGTTCTTAAATTTGACGCGGTTCCGGTTTCTGGTTCTAAACTCCGTTTTAATGTATGGTAAAGTAATTACGCTTTTCGCTAGGACCGTTTCGTGAAATTTAAAATGACTTCCGTTTCCAATTTCTACAAATTATGAAATGGAATCCCAGGCTCCGCATTTCGATCATTGTTGCTAATATATAATTTGAATACTTTTTACTTTGTAACTTATGACCCTTTGTAAAAAAACATTTCTTTATTTTTGATAACCTATAATTTGAATATTTTTTACTTTTACCTTTTGTAAAAATCTTTTCTTTTTTTAAGGACCTTTTAAATTATATTAATGTTAACATGTAAATAATAAGGTGTATATATAGCTGTAAAAATTGTAAGTTGATCAGTTGTAATTTTTATAAAATTGAAATAATAAAATTAATAAAATAAATTAAACTTTTTCTACTTTTTTAATACCTGCCTTCCTTGTGTTTATCATGTATAATTTGAATACTTTTTACTTTGTAACTTATGACCTTTTGTAAAAAACATTTCTTTATTTTTGATAACCTATAATTTGAATATTTTTTACTTTTACCTTTTGTAAAAATCTTTTCTTTTTTAAGGACCTTTTAAATTATATTAATGTTAACATGTAAATAATAAGGTGTATATATAGCTGTAAAAATTGTAAGTTGATCAGTTGTAATTTTTATAAAATTGAAATAATAAAATTAATAAAATAAATTAAACTTTTTCTACTTTTTTAATACCTGCCTTCCTTGTGTTTATCATGTATAATTTGAATACTTTTTACTTTGTAACTTATGACCTTTTGTAAAAAACATTTCTTTATTTTTGATAACCTATAATTTGAATATTTTTTACTTTTACCTTTTGTAAAAATCTTTTCTTTTTTTAAGGACCTTTTAAATTATATTAATGTTAACATGTAAATAATAATGTGTATATATAGCTGTAAAAATTGTAAGTTGATCAGTTGTAATTTTTATAAAATTGAAATAATAAAATTAATAAAATAAATTAAACTTTTTCTACTTTTTTAATACCTGCCTTCCTTATGTTTATCATGGTGGCAGCTTACTTATTATTAATAACATTGCCTTTGGAAACAAGTATAAAAAGATATTTTGACAATAATAAAAGAGATTTCTCTTATACGTTACATGATTCTATGACAATTATTATGATACGTTATGACAGACTGGAAGACATGCAAGAGGCTTATGAACTGATAAATGGAAAAGAGTACTTTGACACGACTGGAAGATTATTTATACTCAAGGCTCGAAGATATCAAAGAGACTTATAATCAGGGTTTCGAACCGAACCGAACCGAACCGCCAAACCGGAATGAACCGTTATAATTTTCTGAACCGTAACCGTAACCGAACCGTTATAAAGAAACTATAAAAAGAGCGAACCGAACCGTTATAAATATTTTAAACCGGTTTAAACCGGTTCAAAGCGGTTTTAAAAAATAATTAAATTTAAACATTATTAACCTAAATTTGAAATTTGAATTTTCCTTGGGGAAATTTTTAAACTCTTTATTTTCTTTTCAAATTGAATTTTTTTTACATGTCAATTAATACCACCAGGTTTATTGTTTTTTCTTTTCACTTTAATAAATACTCAATACTCAATTTAATAGAGATTAGGCGAATTACCGGTTAATTAGATAAGAATCTTAAAATCAAACAAGACTATTCTTTAAATTGAGAGAGAGAGAATTATTTATTTATTTATTTATTTATTTACATTTACACTTTAGTGGATAATTTCTTGAAATAATAACTACTTACTGATTAATCTTCTAAATCTTATAGTACCAAATAAAATTTAAACAGATGAAATTCAATTGGATAATTATAAAATGATAAAGTATCCATTAAAGTTTTAATTTAATTACAGTTGTTTTTGGAATTTTAAACAGCTTTTCTATTTCTTTTCTTCTTATTTTATATCTTATCTTTTTGCTTCTTTCTTTTCTCTATTAAATCAAATTATTTATTAAAATGGTATTAGTAAGCTCCATTCACTTATTTAGTTTCATCTGTGTACAAGGTTTGTTGTTAGTATCTTTGAGGAAAAAATCGGCGCATAATTATATGAAGGGTAGGCCTGCATATAATTCACGTTTTTGGGGGAGATCTTGTCAGATAAGATAAATAAAAAATTATACTGATTCTATTAAGAAATTTATTTATTCTATTTTTATAATAAAAGATTCTGATCTATTCATCATCATATAGCATATTAGTATCTATTAAATGGTTCGGGAAAAGTCAAATCCTGTGCGATCATATTTTAAATTAGATATTGTAAAAAATCAATCTACTTGTAAACTAGAAAACTGTGGTAAAGTTTTAACCGGGGACCATGCAGCAAATCTTGAACGACATATAGAAAGATTCCACGATAAGGAATTCAAATTATTAAAAAAAAAGAAGATAATTTGACTATTAAAAAAACAATAACAAAAAATGCAAATAATCATAATACAATTCAAAATGCTTTTACCAAAACTAATACAATACAAATTAATATTAATAAAGACACTTTAATCCGCTCCTGCACTGAGTTAATCACAGTTCATGGGAGACCAATAAAATCAATTGATGACAAAGCATTTAGAAATATTATTAGATCCGATAATTGTAGGATTGGGTGGTAATTTAACCATCAATTCTGAAAATATACGCAATAATATTAAAAAAATGGCATTTGATTTTTCGCAAAATTTAAAAAAAGAAATATACCAAAAACTTATATCGTTAAAATTAGATATTGCAACTCGATATGATAGGTCCATACTGGGGATCAATATTCAATTTATAGATAATGGAGAAATAAAATTAAGAACGTTATGCATGAAAGAGATAAAAGAAAGACATACATCAGAATATCTAAAAAAATTATTCTAGATGTTCTAAACGAACATGAAATAAGAATTGATCAAATTTATACGATAACCACAGACAATGCAGCTAACATGATTAAATTAATCAAGCTGTTAATACATCATGATGAAGAAGATGATGAAGATGATATCCTTAATGATTATTTAGATAATGATAATTTAAATAACAATGATGATATAATTGTTAATGAAAATGAAGAACCTTTTTTTAATATTGAAAGTATTAATCTTGTACCTCATACGAGATCCATGTTAATGGGCATTAGGATGTGCCTCCCACACATTTCAATTAGCAATTAATGATTGCATAAAAAATTCAAATGAAATTGTTATTATTAATAAAGCAAGAAACATTTGCAAAAAAATAAGAAATCAGACTACAATGTCTATTTTGTCCAAATTAAATTTAAAAAAGCCACTAATAGATTGTTGCACAAGATGGAATTCAATCTATTTAATGTTGGAAAGATTATTAGAGTTAAAAAACTTTTGCCAGGAAATATCGGCCCAAAGTAATGAACGTGAAAAATGTTTGTCAGAGAATGAATGGAAAATAATTAGTGATATATTAAAAGCTTTATATCCATCTTATATTTTGACAAAATATATACAAAGTGAACAAATGACCATGGGCGATTTTTATGCAGCATGGATCAAATGTATCATGCAAACTAGCAAAATAGACACTTCATTTGCCAAACTTTTAGTTTGTACAATCAAAGCACGAGAGATTAATTTGAAAAATGAAGTTTTTTGCTCAGCTATATATCTCGACCCAAGATATAATGTATTTTGATCATTTGAAGAAAAAAGATATCGCCAAAAAACATCTTTATAAAACTTGGAACTTAATCCAAAATTTAAATAATCAGAATATTGAAAATCTAGATACTATTCCTACGTGTTCACATTCGAAAGATAACTTAGATGATGATTTTGAAGATTTATTAATGTCGCATGAAAGCCTTAATAAGAATAGTTCTCAGGGCATAGAAAATTATAATAAATGTGTAGAAATAGAGTATATAATTCGGTCATTTGATAATATAGAGAGATTAGAAAAAGATGCAAATCTTTTGAATTATTGGGAAAATGTAAAGAATAGTATGCCAGAACTTTATAAGTTAGCTATGGTTGTGCTAGCAGTTCCAGCTACGCAGGTATCCGTAGAAAGAGCATTTTCTAGCCTTAAGTTTATACTCTCTGCGCAAAGAACTAAATTAAATCCTGAAATATTAGAAAATATTTTAGTTATCCGTTCCAATTCTCTTTTTAAAAATAAATAATATAAATTTATTATATTTATGTGTTATTTTATTCCTCATTGTATTTGCGCATGTTTGTGTTTATCTTATTTATGAAATAAAAAGAATTGATTTGTCTAATTTATATTTACTAAGTTTAATAAAAATATCTATTAGATTATCATTCATGGTTAAATTAAATAAGAAATTATAAAAAGATTTTTCTCTAAAATTAATATATACATGGTTAATGATTAATTTTTTTTTAAATTAAATTTATAAAAACCGGAACAAACCGAAAAGAACCGTTATAAATTATAAACCGAACCGAACCGATATGATTATTTTTTTAAAAAACCGAAATGGAACAAAACCTTTATAAAATTTTAAACTAAAAACCGGAACGAACCGAACCGTTATACTAAACGGTTCGAAACCCTGCTTATAATAATATCAATTATAGTCGTATTGTATTTACACAAACATATATGATAAATTATAATTATAAATATTAATATTATATAATAAAGTATAATGAAACCTTTAGTTAAAAATACTATAATAGAATGCCCTATTTCTAATAATAATGTTGAGGTTTTTCTAAAAAAATTCGATAATATATTTAAAGATCCACAATATACCGATATAGAAAAAGCATACGCATTTACGCAGAGGTTACCTGATGATCTTTACCTGAGACTAGAGGCGATATGCACTCCTACGGAATTTAGCAATCCATCGATCGTACTCGAGAGATTTAAACTTTTACAGCCAGACAATTCGAACATAGCGTATTTGAAAGAATTCAGTGAAGTAGTACAAGAAAAAAATGAAACATTCAGTAATTGGGTAACCAGGTTATGTTTAATAAGTAATAAATGCAAATTTAGTAATTATGATAGAGCAATAGAGAGAATAAAAATATATTCAACCAATAAAGATATACGTCAGAAAATTTCACATGTAGAAAGTTTAGATATTCATGAAATAATAAAAATAGGAAATGGGATTGAGGATGAAGAAGCTTATGACAAAATAATTAATAAAATTGATAATATAAAAATAGAAGATACATCCGAGATAAAACAAATAGAAATGCGGAAGGACAATCAGGCGGATACGGATAGAAGGATGATGAAATACGATGATCGAAATAGAGGAGTAGATGCACAAACGAATTACGTCCATAGAAATCAATGGAGGCCTAGATACGACAGTTATCAAAGAAATAATTATCAAGAGAATAATTTCAATCCTCGTTTTCAAAATAATTTTAATCCTCGATATCAAAACAATTTTAATTCAAGATATGCGAATAATTACGAGCCGAGATATCGGAATAATTATAATCCTAGAGTTAATTATAATAATAGTGGGTATAATGGACCGAGACCGTATAATAATTTTATAAGATTCAACAATAAAAATAATTATAATAATAACTACAATAATTATAGATATAATAATAATGATAATTACAAATATAATGAAAATAATTATAGAGATTATAGATATCAAAACGAATCAAGATACATACCAAGATACAATAATAATCGTGATAATAGTCAGACAAGCAATAATAGATATATAATCAATAATAATAATAATCCATCAGGATATTCGAATAATATAAATACCGTCGATATAGAAGAAATAAAGGAGGAAAATAATGATAAAAAGGAACATAGTTTATTTAGCATTGATGTGAATAATATGGAGGATGATGACAGGGAAAATTATGGTTACAAAGTTACGATATACCTTAACGATATGCCGGTAGTCATGCAGATAGATACCGGGTCGCGCTTTTCAATATTACCGAATAAGATTGCTAGAAAGGTAGGAATCAAAGTCTTAAATAAATCGGATACGAAACTTACTGGCTATGATGGGAAAAGTATTAAAGTGCTAGGAATCGTTAGAATAAAAGTGAGATATGAAGACAAAACTCAAAACATAGATGCGTATTTAGTCGAAAGTGACAAGAATGCACTACTAGGAAGAACGTGGATAAAAGTTTTTGGTAACATACTCAATAAATTAGTGAATCTAATCGAGGAAAATAATAATGATACGATAGACAAATTAATAAAAGAATGTAGTTCAAAAATCAACAAAAAACCTATATATCGTAATGATGTTAAATTACATTTGACACAAGATGCGAAACCAAAGATTATACCACCAAGACGCGTACCATATAAAAGACTTGATTTAATAACAAAAGAATTACAAAAATCGAAACTTTTTCTACTTTTTTAATACATGCCTTCCTTGTGTTTATCATGTATAATTTGAATATTATTATTAAAAATAGGGCATTCTATTCTAGTATTTTTAACTAAAGGTTTCATTATACTTTATTATATAATATTAATAATTATAATTATAATTTATCATATATGTTTGTGTAAATACAATACGACTATAGTTGATATTATTATAAGTCTCTTTGATATCTTCGAGCCTTGAGTATAAATAATCTTCCAGTCGTGTCAAAGTACTCTTTTCCATTTATCAGTTCATAAGCCTCTTGCATGTCTTCCAGTCTGTCATAACGTATCATAATAATTGTCATAGAATCATGTAACGTATAAGAGAAATCTCTTTTTTATTGTCAAAATATCTTTTTATACTAGTTTCCAAAGGCAATGTTATTAATAATAAGTAAGCTGTCACCATGATAAACACAAGGAAGGCAGGTATTAAAAAAGTAGAAAAAGTTTAATTTATTTTATTAATTTTATTATTTCAATTTTATAAAAATTACAACTGATCAACTTACAATTTTTACAGCTATATATACACATTATTATTTACATGTTAACATTAATATAATTTAAAAGGTCCTTAAAAAAAGAAAAGATTTTTACAAAAGGTAAAAGTAAAAAATATTCAAATTATAGGTTATCAAAAATAAAGAAATGTTTTGATATACGAACAAATGACTAATGTAGCAATTGAGAAACGAATGACTGGAAGTGAAGATAAGAAACTGAGGAAAGAAGACATAAAAAAAAGGGGGAAATGTTGTTAATATATAATTTGAATACTTTTTACTTTGTAACTTATGACCTTTTGTAAGATAACCTATAATTTGAATATTTTTTACTTTTACCTTTTGTAAAAATCTTTTCTTTTTTAAGGACCTTTTAAATTATATTAATGTTAACATGTAAATAATAATGTGTATATATAGCTGTAAAAATTGTAAGTTTATCAGTTGTAATTTTTATAAAATTGAAATAATAAAATTAATAAAATAAATTAAACTTTTTATACTTTTTTAATACCAGCCTTCCTTGTGTTTATCATGTATAATTTGAATACTTTTTACTTTGTAACTTATGACCTTTTGTAAAAAACATTTCTTTATTTTTGATAACCTATAATTTGAATATTTTTTACTTTTACCTTTTGTAAAAATCTTTTCTTTTTTTAAGGACCTTTTAAATTATATTAATGTTAACATGTAAATAATAATGTGTATATATAGCTGTAAAAATTGTAAGTTGATCAGTTGTAATTTTTATAAAATTGAAATAATAAAATTAATAAAATAAATTAAACTTTTTCTACTTTTTTAATACCTGCCTTCCTTGTGTTTATCAATCATAAATTCTTGTTATAATACATTCAGAATTCTTCGATATGGGGGCTGGTAGGTAATTATTAATTAATGATCTACGAATTATTAATTAAATATTTAATTAACTCGAACAGCTGTTAAATGGCGTAATATAGCGTCCAAATAATATTTAAAATAAAATAATATTCATCTTTTGAATAATATAAGTTAATTTGTAGTGGTATCATTATTATTTTTTTTTAAAAAGGTTAATTTTCTTTATTTCAGTTATCCATTCCACCTTATATTATAATAATAAGATTTCACATTATTTTGTGGAAATAAGAATATTAAATGGAAGAATTTTACTTAAACTACTTAGACATATAAATACAACCAAGGCCTGACTTAAAAGAGTCAGAAACTTACCACAAAAATTTTGTGGTACTCCGTAAAGAAGGGCAATAAGTATTTATGGGTATCTCCCTAATAATAACTCGCTTTTCCCTTTATAATGGTTAGGGAAATTGTCAGATACCTCCACAACAAATTTCCAACTAATTGGAAAAGGGGGGGGGGGGAATTCAATCCAAATAATCAAAAGGGTCGGTAAAAAAAAAGGAACCTTCTCTGGCGTCGAAATCTCTTTGCACGTCCTCGAACGTTACGGCGTTCTGGTGGGACAAGCTGGCCGTGTGACCTTGCTTCAGATTATTACTTTTTTTAAAAAAAATAATAAATAAATGAAAGAAGTAAATTAAAAAAAAATAAATAATGATAAATGCATTTTTATTTTCGCCGGGGTAAAATATTTTTAGCCAGAAAAATATTCCAAAAATCTTTGTGTCATCCGTGAGAAAAATCTTTAGGCTCGCATAAAACTTTTTTATCCGAATAAAACATTGAGTATATATATCACTCTCAGGAAAAAGATGTCACCTGTTTAAAAAAAATCGGGTCAGCTGATATCAGATAGGGCTGTATTCTGTATCCGTATTGATTATTTAACAATTATTGGTTGGGTGACATATCAATCTCAGGTGATCAGAAAAATACCTCTCATCTAGTTTTAGTAATACCCGGTTCACCTTTGGCTTTTGAGGAAAATACGAGTAGAAATGAGGAACGGGAAATTGGCGCCAATAGAAATTAGGAAAAGTTTAGTAAAATTTCGGATAAAGGGCTTCTTATGTGAATACCATGTATTTTATTGAAATTAGGAAGGAGAAGAAGGAGAAAGAAAAAAAAAACAAACCTATTGCCACCAAAATAATAACCCTTAGTGGGTCCGGTGAATGGCGCCCCTTCGCGGGAGAATGTCCTGGCGTTTTTATCGGTCTTTTCGCTACACGGGGTGCCCCAACTTTGCATCTGATTTATCTCGTCGTCGGAATCAGATTTGGAACGCTCGCTAGCCGGACTAGTGATGACATCTTCGATCGGCGAATAATTTGGCGTTAGACTGAGACTCAAGTCAGGTTGTTCTAGCAAATTCTAACCGGAAGCAAAGTAAATGAAGGGTGCAGATTCGGTTAATTTTATGGGGGGGGAGGATAAATTTTTTTTTTTTTATAGTATACGGATAAAAACGATTCCTAGCGCCTAACATAGTTTTAAGAAAACTTTTAAAATGGTGGTCAATCAGTTTGATATTTCGCAATTGTTCTTCAGTCTAGTCAGGGTCCGAAGGAGCCCCTTAGCTTATTAAATTTATAAGAAAGGGAAGAAAAAAAAATCGCTAAATTGATTTGTCTTATTATTTTAACGAAGCGGGAGTATTAAAATCGCTATTTACGTTTAGGTTATATGACCTAACCTTTCTAGAGTGATTATTCTACTTTTTTTTTAAAATATTCCAAGGTACATTTTGAGAATTTCATGTTTTTTATTTTAAAGTTGGCTTGTCTTATTATTTCAACCCACAGTAGTGTCGAAATCGCTATTTATGTTTAGATATTTTAACCTAACCTTTCTAGAGTGATTATCCCATTTTTTTCTAAAAAATAAAAAATTTATAGGCTTGATTTTTTTTTTTTTCAAGGATGGGTTTTTCTATAAGATATATGTTATTCTTTTTAGAAGCGTAAAGAGAGCATTTTAAATATTCATCACAAATTATACGTATATATATAGAAATTATTGTTGTTTATTCGTAAACAAATTTATTGTTGTTTATTCGTAAACAAATTTTATACCCAAATATTCATATTATAATTTTTAAAAGAAAAATTTTTTTTATTGATTTAATGTTTCGTTTTTGTTTTTGGTCTTTTAAATCTAGAAAAATTATGGCAACCATCATATAAATTTTTTTTTTTATTATTAAAATCGAAAAGGTATCAAACCAATAGGAATTTTTTTCCTTGTTCATTTGACATGGCAGAAAGCCCAATACAAAAAAAATTTGAGTGAAATCTCAATGAACGCGCCAGGGGCTTCTACACAAGGAGGAGATATGGGGGGGGGGGGGGTGGGGTTCATAAGATTCTCAATGAAATTGGAATTTTTATTTGGCAGGAAAGTTTATAAGGGTTGAGAGGTAAAATTGTAATGTAGTGGGGAAGGGGGTAAAATTTTCAGATCTCTAGTTATATCGAAACTAAATATAACATTACGAATGGGTAAGATACAGCATGTTCCAAAATAAGTAAAATAAAAAAAAGGGTTTGTTCAAAAAGGCTAAAAAAATAACGAATATAAGTTTCTAGAGCAGTCTCCCTAACTGGACCTGACTCCTAACATCTAGTACATATATAGAATGGTCAAACCTGAATAACTAGTATTTGCTTGAATTCCCCGTGCCAACTAGTGTTAGAATCCGTGTGGAAATGATTTGGCAAGTTCTGGAAGGCCAATATTTCTCGATTCATGAGAACGCTAGCTATCTCGTCGTTGTGGTTGAGCTTGCGACAGAATTTGCTTTTTTCCACCTCCAAAAAAGATATCTTTTGGGAAGAAAAAAAAATGGTTTTTTTTAAAAAAATTTTGCTTAAATAACTGCGGAAGGATATCTAATGAATACAACACACGTGGGTAGTTGCTCTATTGTTACTCGGCTAAAAAAAAATAAGCTCCACTTATTTTTATCCACCAACCCATCTCAACTGTACTTGATGAGTGATAAATCTATAAGAATTTGATACAAAATCCATTTTGTAAATAGCCATTTTCGATTTAATAAAAAAAAATAGAAAATGACAGTATCATTGGTTAAGTAATGAAATGCTCTATCTGTATTGCTTCGATTATTTTATTTTTCCTTCTTCAGTTTAAAACTTATATGGTAATTACCGATATCAAAAAAATTCGAACTAAACTATAAATTTGAAGAAGAACCTCCATCTTTAAAAAATGAAAATACAATTTATATAAATAAATTCCCACTATTATTATTAATAATAGTAGGGATAAGTTCTAAATCGCTAAAAAAAAAGTGTCCATAATTCGGGATTAAAGTGCTCTATCTGCATTTCCTTAGTTTTTAAGAAAATCCCCTATTAATTCAAAGTCCGTATAAAATAAAAAATATAAGTTAAATTTTTTATATTAGTTGTCTGAGACAACTTGTTTTTTTTATTCCTTCAGTAAAATTAAAAAATATAATAATCTTAAGCAAAACCTATTCTGAAGGAAAAGTCGGAGAAAAGCGTTTTAAATCATGAAAACATTAATCGCCGAAATTGGAAATTTCTCTTATATCTCCTAGAAAATTTTTTATTAATATTATTAGACGCTAGAGTGTAAGCAAGCACTGGTATTTAAGTTGAGTTATCAGAAAAGAATTACTAAAAAATAGAGAAAAATATTATAGTTGTGCTCCCAATTCGATTACCAATTTGGGAAATCAAACTAAGAAAGAAAGAAAGAAATAAAGAAAGAGGAATTTGGGATGATATTTCCTCCATTTTTCGCGATTTTTTTTTAAAAAAAATTCTCAACTTAAATACAAGTGTTTTACTCCTCTTACCATCTTATAATATCAATATCAAATTTACTATAAAAAAATTTTTCTAGGAGATATAAGGTAGATTCCCAATTTTTGGAGATTTAGAACGCTTTTCTGCGACTTTTCCTTCAGTAACGGTTTTGCTCAAAATTTTTATATTTTTTTAAAATTTTACTAAAGGAATAAAAGAACAAGTTTGTCTCAGATAACTAAAATAAAAAAAAATTTAACTTATATTTTTATTTTATAAGGATTTCGAATTAATAGGGGATTTTCTTAAAAACTAAGGAAATGCAGATAGAGCACTCTAATCCGGAATTATGAATATGTTTAAAATTTTCTTTCTCCCCCCCCCCCCCCATTGCACTAGGAAAGTAGAAAGAAATGCAGATAGAGCACTCTAATCCCGAATTATGGATACGTTTACAATTTTCTCTCCATTTTCCCCTCCATCACACTAGGAAAGTAGAAAGAAGTCATATTTCTTGTTCCTGGAGTTTCGCGAGTTACCAGCCCCCGCTAACTAACATTTTATTAAAACTTAAAAATCAACATTTCAAGGACCAAGGGAAAATCTGAAGAAGTTGCCCTATACTTATCCGATATTGTTCATCTAAAATGGCAAATGTAAAAAAAATAAATAAATAAATAAAATAAATAGGTGACTAACATTTTTAGCGGGCTTTTTGGAGTGGGCTTCTATCCTTTCCGCCACGGCTTGAAATTTGGATCCGTAAGCCATACGAAACACGTACTTTTAAAAATATAGAAATTTATATATATAAACCTCGTAAAAAAAGGGAAGTGCGTCATAAAACCTACAATATCTTAATTTAGGACACATATATGGTAAACGCGTTTTGTTCGAGCGTTGCCGTTATTTCGCATCGTTATTACAAAAAATAAAGTCAATAAATTAAGTATAAATTTTAAAAAAAATATGTTGAAAACATATGTTGCGATGCGTTGATAAAAAAAAAGGGGTACGCGATACGAATTATAAAAATAATAAGCGAAATTCGATAAAAAGGTATATCTCTATTGTTGTACCTGTCGTTTTGTAATTGACATTTATGGACGTTTTGTCAATATAATTTTTCTAGAAGGTTATGTTTTCTTTATTTTAAAAATTTTAATCATGTGATTGGTGTTGTAATATTTATACGAAGAAAATAAAGATAATTTAAACAGGTTGTAAATATTGATATTTTGATATATATATATATATAATCATGGGATGAAATATTGGCTTTTGATATTTATATGAAATATATTTTAAAATGTAATATCTTATTTTATCTCAATTTTGAAATATTTGTTACCTTTATTTTTCCTTTATATAAAAGCTAATTAAATATAAAATTTGATAAATACTTTCATTATTGGAGCGTTATAATAATATTAATGTCTAACTGAAAAAAAAACGCTTCACGTCAAGATGACCGTATCTTGTTGGCAAATAAAATTGTTTAACGTTGTTTTTAAAAAATGATCTCAAATAAATAATGTTAAAACTTGAAAGTTTTCCTATCTTTTTTTACGCTATATATATACATCACTTAAATGGAATTACAAAAGATTTCTGATTCCAATATTATTAGTGACATCAAATACTAGGCTCAAGTTATGGGCATCACAGAGTATTCCATATATATATATATGTACATTTATATTTCTTCAATTATTGTCTGTTCCCAGGAGCATATTTCACTCATATTTAGACGGCTCCGTTCATATATTCTTGTCTTCTACTTTTAAAATATCGAAATTAATAAAAAAAAAATAGGTTTCATCTTATAGATTTCGTTGTTTTGTATTTTGAAATTTAAAAGATTACGAAGAATTGAATTCACAATCGCTTGAAGTATTTTATTAAAGATATATAAAACTTTCTTGTTTTATTTTTTTATTAAAAAAAATTAATAATTAACATTCATTGTGTCCACGGGAGGAAAGCTGGATTAGATAATGACAATGTTACTATTCACATTCACAATTCCTATGCAACAAAATATTTCCCATTTATTTAGGATGATCGTTCTTAGGCCGCGTTCAAAGTGGGATCCGACCCGACACGATTTAACAGCTGATTGATTTTTTAAAAACCTGTTTTATACGCGATCAATTTTTTTTTATCATGATAATATTAATTTTATCGTTAATTCTACGCACCTAAGAAATATTGGCTTTAATAAAGAATAATTGATTCTCGTAAACCGATATAAAAATCGATCAGCTGTTAGATCGTGCCGGATCGGATCCCGCTTTGAATGCGGCCTTAAATTATTCGTGGCAAGTAGTGTTGTTGGAAGGCCGGATTGGGGTCTTTGGGCATTCAAAATGGAGACGCATCCGTTTTTTACATCCGTTCCGTCAAAAGTCAATCTCATTGAAAAAATGATATATATTGATTTTCATTTTTAAAAAATTATGAGTAACGTTTATACGGCTCTATAAAATTTGTGGGATCAAAAAGTCAAAATGTATCGACTTAAAAATTTGCCGGATCCGTTTTTAAGACGGAAGGTATCGGAAGGGACGCACTATGAACATGTATATCATTTTTAATGAGATTGACTTTTGACGGAAACGGATGTAAAAAAACGGATGCGTCTCCACTTTAAATGCAACCTAAAGGTTTTAGCACATAACTAAGGCAGAAATGCTTGAACATCTGTTTGCCTAATCTCGATTGTTAGCATAAAATTATTTTTAGCTATCTTAAGGTGGACCGTTTTGAAAAATCGAACCAAGTCGGGGCTTTTTAGCAATACTAAATGTGGCAAGTAATAATTTCTTTAAATTTTTTTTTAATTCTACTTATCATCATGTTAAATCGGATCGAAGATGGCGGGTGAGTAACTTCATTTTTCCAAAAAAAAAAGAAATTGACAGAGGAAGTTGTAAAATTAGATCAAGGCGTTCAGTCACATATGCTACCCGAAGATTCAGTAAATAGAACTCTAAGGAATCATAGGGCAAAGCACAACAAAAAAAAATTGACATCTTTCAATTTTCTTTTGTAAATTTTTTCTACAACCTTGAGACCTTTCCGCCCCGTGGGGTATGTCGGCCCTTGGGTTTACGCCACTGTCACTCTTATTTTTCTTATTTTGAATACTTCGTGAGCCTTATTTAAACTGACGGAGGACAAAACGTTTTAAATAATAAAAAAAATAATTATGGTCATGTGACCCTTTACGCGTTTTACCAAAAAAAAAATGGATGCAAAATATATTCTAAAAAGGTATAAGCAGAAGAATGGAAGAAAATGGAAGCGTTAATTGGACGATCCGGCACTTAATAAGAAGGAAACGGAAGTGAGAATTTATAATATCCCAAAGGGCCTATAATTATTTTATTTTAAAAAAAAAAAAAAAATACTTTGAGAGGAACGGGAGAATCGCTATCGGCCATGTTGCTACAGTCTAAGTCAAAGTAGTGAATCGTCACGGGGTGGCTTTTTTCGGGCAAGGGAAGGGTCATGTAGAGAAGCGGATCGAAGGTGGTCGATTTCTGCGATCGATGAGTTAAGTGTATAGAACGTTTTAAAACAAGTCAATCATAATTAAATTCTTATATATAAAAACTCTTTTTTCTTAATTTTCCCCCCTTTTCAATTTCCTCTTTAATAATCGCAGAAATCGGACACAAAAAAAAATGACGCGAAACCGTTTTGCATTCCGGACATATGAGAAGCGATTTGTATTGACCGAGAAAAAGGTGGCTCACGAAAGAATCGTTACGCTTCAGGTAGTAGTCCCATGTTTCGGTGGCGATTTCCTGCAAAAAAAAAGAAGGTTTTTTTTTACAAAAAAAATGATAGATATAATTAGTAGATTTTAAAAGAATAGTCGCGGGTATTAGCCGCCCTATGTACGAGTCAGTTATGCGGGAACGTTCTCCTTAAGGAAAGAGTGACACTGTTAGACGCGTTCGATTCTAACAGATTCAAAACTAACCGTATTGTGCCTTAATCTATTTTTTCTCTAGCTGAGCTAGCTATGCCCCTGACAAGTAAAGCTTCGATCAAAATGGTGGCATCGTCATGAATAAATGACTCCAACAATGGACGATTCGTTTTGCTCATATGGACAATTTAAACATGTAACTTAAAAAAAAATGGAAAATTTAATTTAATTATATTTTTTTGTTTTTACCATGTCGGATCTACCCCGCGTTTCGATTTGAGCGGTGTAAGGTTTGTTCTTGATACGATTTAGATCCTATAAGAAACGAGAGAAAAAAAGAAGTTTGTTTCGTTATAAGTTGGCGTATAGCGGAAACTTTAAAATGCGGAGCATGTATCGGGTGGGGGGGGAGGGGGTCTATATACTAAAAACAGTTTCTAGGCTGAAGGAAATGGAAGGGGAGATAAACGATCGCGGAGCAATGATCTTTCGCTAATTGTATCGTGATGTATTTGTTAGAAAACTCCCCTCAGTGTAAGTGGGATAAAAGCGACCCCGTACTAGAGGAAGACCGAAATTAACTAGGTTAGAACCCAGGTTAGAGGCTAATTCTAAAATAAAAATTTTCACGATAACAAGGAGTCAAAAGTTTCTTTATTTAGTTTAGATTAAGGGCAAATTATTCAATAATTACACTTTCATTATTCTTATTTTTTTGAGTCAATTTCATTTTTTTTTTAAATTATATAGCGTGATGACAATATTAGATAAATTTTTATGTGCAAGTTTTATTACGGAAAAACCCTTTAAAAATATCTTTTTTCTAGGCGACAAATTTTCAGATAAAGTCAGTTAATTAATCGGTCTCCTTATACAGGTTTAAGCCTTTGGAATGTATAGAAAAAAAAAATTGGTATACCTCGTGTAATCCGTCCAATAGGAAAGCCAGAAATTCCTGGGCGTCGTGCTGGGAATAACCCAAGAACTGGTTCGCTTTCAGGGATATCAAACTCTGCCAAAATATTAAAATAATGATAATAATTAACTCCGCAAGAAAACTAGGAAATCGGAAAAATCAAAAACAAGGCAACGTCCTTAACGAATACCATATGATAGTTTAACATCTGTTCAAAGTCAAAAAATCTTCAGATCCTCTGCTATGACAAGTTAAGGTTTTTTTTATAAATAAGCCGTATCGTGAGATTGAGATCGAAACCTTTAATTTGAAAGGAGATACCGCCGTGTTGGTTCCGCCCCATAGGTCCTTCATGAGTTCCGCGAAAGCCGACGCCAATTCGCCGTTCAGTCCTAAAGGGTTTTCAGTGTTTAGCTCGCCTTTAAAGGATCCGGCTGATTTTTTTTTTCAATAAAAATACGATATACAAAGCCCATTTAATTATTTTCCTTCCACGTGAAAAATTTTGAATTTGTTTTTCTTACTCAGAAAGTAGTCCCTTAGGGCCGGCGTATTGGCCAAGATTTGTATGACACAATTCATGAAGCAGGTGTTGCCCAAATTTATCAGGCCGCAGTAACCAGCGAGATCCAACCTATTTCTGCCAGACATTCCGCTTTTCCTCCCGTCGTATGATGAGTAGGTATCCGTGCCATCCGGCAAAACTATGACATCCGAGACTTTGGGACTTTTTGAATACATATATATATATAATATAGAATTAAAATTAACAATCAATTATCAAATCAATATGAACCGTTCGTTATACACTAGAAAAGTAGTTATCAAAGTAACGCCCATTTTTTTGAAAGTAACTGTTACTTGTACTAGTATTGTAAAAAAAAACCTCGATTATCATCGCCCAACCAAATATAATCAGTTTGTATATGTCAATTTATAATTGACATTTATGGACGTTATAAAAATATATTTGACAGTTTCGGATCTCATAATTTTAAATGTTATAAATATATATACGTGACTGACATTATCTACGCCCAAAGATTTAGCCAAAAAAAAGGGTCAAATTGGCCATGTTTCGAGTGAAATCTCGCTATCCTGGGTACTATTCGTTTAACTGTGATCCCGATTTCGCCATTGACATATATCCAGTGTGGTTAAGCGGCTCGATTCGAGCCGATTCTTAAAAACGGCTAACTCAATATTTTAATCTAGAATAATATCATGCAAGCCTGAAGATTTTGCTCATAGATGGCACACAAAGTTCTAGATATCTTCTAGCGAAATCTCGTAGGCAAAATTCTTCTCTTCTCTGAGGAGATAGAGGAGAGGAGAGGAGAGGAGAGGAGAGGAGAGGAGAGGAGAGGAGAGGAGAGGAGAGGAGAGGAGAGGAGAGGAGAGGAGAGGAGAGGAGAGGAGAGGAGAGGAGGCTGCTTTTTAAAAAATCGGCTAGAAACGAGCCATTTAAACAACACTACACATATCATGGCTTTTAATATGAATTTTGACGAATTCACCACAAGGTCATTACGCCTATTTGTATTATATTGGTGGTTTGTAAAAGGAAGAAAAATTAGGAATTGTGAATCTGTTTATAATTGTTATTTTATTATTTTTTATTTTTAAATATTATTCAATAATAATTCTATTTATATTTTATTTGTTTATCAAGTAATTTTAGAAAGTTTATAAACCGCCAAAAAAGAAAAACAAGAAAGAAACAGAAAAATCATTTTTAAATTATTATTTTTATTTAAATTTATTATAAAGGAAGATATACCAATATATTATAATTTATCTTATTATACAAAAAGGAAGGTTTCCGTTTAATCACCCAATCATGAAGGTTTTAATCATCCAATCATAAAGGTTTTAATCATCCAATCATGAAGGTTTTAATTACCCAATCATGAAAGCGTCAAACACCCTCCCAATAATTATAAAAGTCATATTTTTTTTTAAAAAAAAATATCAATTTATAACGTGAGGAAAATTGTATATTAAATTACGAAATGCGAAATTCCTTAATTTTAAATATTGATTTTAAATTTCCGATATTATGATTGACATTTAAAAGGGTTCGGAGGCCCGAATGATAAGAAACGAAAACTATGTTTGAAAAAGTTTCTTTTAATCGATCGATCGATTATTTAAGATTATAGCGTTCCATGTCCATTTTAATTTTGGGAGGTATAGATCAAATCACGTGATTCATTCGAACCCTTTTAATTAATTATGATCTCCCACGTGTCCTTGAATGATTGGCACGGCGATTCCATTATTTATTACTTTTTTTTAATGCTATCGACTCGATATTAATCTAATAGTTCTACCATACATCTTGATAGTTGGATTTAGCATATTGTTACATTTTAAGAGGAGGGGGTGTGGGTGGGGGAGAGAAATAATTCTACATCTTTCCCTAATGGAAAAAAAAATAGAAGAGGTAACAATTCTCAGTTTGAAAAGATACATTTTATTTTTATTACAAGAAATTTTTATAAAAATTTCGCCATAAAAGGGAAGTGAAGCGTAAGAGTGAGCACAAAATGAGCGTTTCAAAGGCAGCGTTTCGAAACGCGAATAAAAAAAAAACGTAAACGAAGCTTATAATATTTTTAAATTTAAAAACATTAAAAAAAAAGGCTGTACGATTTAAACGAATGCAGCATTTAAAAGGCGTTATTTGCGTTTTTGAAACGCTGCGTTGAACCGTTGTGCGCATGCGCATTATAAGACGCTGATAATTTTATTTTTTTATTTTGCAAAATAGCAGTATAGCGCGCTAATTTTAAAAAGTAGCTTTTAACAACACCCTACCTTGCATATATGTCGTATGGGGATTCGGAATCTCTAGATGTTTTAAATCCTTTACCGAGAAAGATTTTTTTTAAAAAATTTTTTTAATCCGATTTAACCGGAAATGGATTCTAGCATGTGTAGAGTATCTACCCTATAAATTTCAGCCAATTATGCCAAGAACTTTAGAAAACTACTTTTAACTTATATTAATTTTATATGAATTTGATATTTGGCTTGAAATTTATAAGGGTAAAAATACTCTCTACACACGCTAGAATGCGTTTCCGGTTAAATTGGATTTAAATATTTTTTTTAAAATTGTCCTCGGTGATTACGAATCCCCCATACGACAAATATATAACCAAAGAAAAACGGGAATAAAAGAAAAAAAGGGGGAAAGAAAAAAATTAATATAAATAATGATCATGAATAAAGGCGAGTTTATTTAATTTTAATTTCCGAACCTATTCGATAACATCCTCGACTCTTTATCGTACGTTTTGTAAGTTGGAAACGCGAAAACATCTTTGGATTTCTAAAAAAAAAAATTAAAATTTATATTTTATTTATTTTTTAAATTTTAGTAATTGTCTCTTTTCTTTCTTTCGTTCCTCCTTTATTTCTATTCTATTCTATTCTATTCTTTATTTATGTTTCTTTAGATAAATTGTAATTATTAATAGAATACGTGATGTCATTACCGTCTTCCCGAGACATTCGGAAGCGGATTTAAATTTCTGCTGATGTCGTAATGGATGGTCGTCTAAACCGTCGACGAATAGGTCCTTATCTATAGCACCAAATAAAAAGTAAAACAAGTATATTTATGGGGGAAATGATTTATCGGGGTTTTCTAAATCGACGCTTTCCTCTTTCACACAATATATAACCCTATCCCTGTAATTTCGATGGTGCGCCGGTTATCGGAATTTATTCCTTAAATTCATATCCGGTTATTGTTTTAAATTTTTCTCTCCAACTACCTTCTCTTCTTCCATTTTTTTTTACCATGATACTTTTAGAAGAAAAAAAAATAAAAACTTACATATATGATTAAGCAAATCGTGTGGAATGGTGTTCAGATCCCAAGAATGGTGATTTATACCGCTATTGCCACATCTATTACTTGAAGAACTACTATTATGATTCGAGGAGGTAAGTGGCATAGGGGGAGCCTTGTTGAGGTCGATCTTAATGTTCTCCTTGTAGAAGCTCATCTTCACGGTCTCGGCTACCACGACACCCTTCAGTTGAACACTGAAGCTAAACTTGGACCTCTCGCGGGTATCGACCCTAGAAGTACTCCCCAAAGTAGAGGAGGCCAGATTCTCGTCGCAATCGCCGCTACCGTCTCTTTTGGCGCGAATCGCGTCGTCCAGCTGTTTATTGTAGTTTTCGTCATCATCCAGCGCGTTCTGCATACGGTGAGAACTGAGGAAAAGGAGTAAATCGTTTCGGGATTTGAAGTTCTCCAGGACAATTGTAAGGATCGGTAAAGAACCGTGAGTGTTATTTGTGAGCACCCAATCGGCGGAAACGCAATTTTTGACGATGACCGTAAGACCAACGCATTTTTCCTGTGGTAAAAAAAAAATAAGGTGAACGTAAAAAAAATTCTATGGGCCATTCCATGTTCAAATCGATCAAAAAAGGCACTTTTTCAACTGACTCCTTTTAAAATTGTTAAAAATTTCTGGAATTATTTAGATAGGTTTTTTATATAATTCTTTATTTCGTATAAATTTATGTATATGTCGTATTGGGATAAGGAATCCATGGTAATTCAGAATCGCCCACACCCAATTTTATATCATATTGAGAAGCCATTTTTTAGATTTGGAAAGTCTTTAACCGGAAATTGTATTCCAGCACACGTAGAGTAAACTACCCTATAAATTTTAGACAATTTTCGCGATTAAATTTTGCGATATTATATATCAAAAAGTCTATATAAAAAATTAATAAAAATTGAGTGCAGTTTTCAAAAATTCGCAATAAATTTGTCCGAAATTCGTGGTTCTTTTATGCATACTGGCATTTCCGGTCATAATCATTTTTCAAATTTTAAAAATCTCCCCAAGTGAGTTAGAATCCTCGTTGAATTCATATCCCAATACGAGATATATGTAGATAATTTTAAGTAACGATTTGATGAATTAAATAAAAAAATATAAAAACACTTTTTTGATAAGCATAAGAATTTAACAGCTGGTAAAAATGTTTTATTTTTCTTTAAAAAAAGTTTAAAAAAAGTACTGATAAATTGAGTAACGTCTCCAAGGTTGGGCAAATATCTCATTTCCAATAGCGCATAAATTAGACAGGTTTGACCTGTCTATCACTTGGTAAATTAGGCATTATATAACGAAATATTTTTTAGTAATGCTTGTTAAACGGCTGAAAAAAATTATGTAAGCCCTAAAAATTTTGCTCATAGATGGCGCAAAAGGTTTGGACATCAATTTAGCCAATTATAGAGGCTTAGACAATATTTTTCTAGGTATAAAATATCGAGTTAGCCGCTAAAATTGATATGGCATTGGTTCTTAAAACCCGATACAATGTCCGATTTTATATCGGATTTGCAGAGAAAATATCGGTATCGTTGCCCAGCCCTAAAGCATGAGAAACGTATAACGCTAACGCCACTAGTAAAACCACCTAACCTTTTTTTCAAAAAATTTGTGACTAAGCATGCTAAAAACCTGGACACGATTTATAAGTTAGAATTAAATATAAACCAATAAAAAAAATACTTACCCTTTCATACCATTGAACCTTGAGCCTGGGTATATCGAAAGTGCGGGAGTTTGGATGAGCGCGAAAATTGTCGTTATCGTGTTGGGCAGACTTTAGAGGTGATGAGGGTATCATCGTCAAAAAAGTTCGGTCAGATAGCTTTAATATCCGGATAAAAAAAAATGTTGATCCAATTAACAATCCCTCCTTTCCCTTTTAGTAAACATTATAGTTAAGAGTTTACGGCGGAGGAATACAAATATCGCGCATTGATATACACTATTATTCATCGTTTACCTCGTTAAAAACAAAAATTAGCATACCGATTTTTTTTATCTATCATTATTATATGGGATATATTAGTTGCTATATCGTCAAAAAAAAATGTTAAGGCATGTTAAAAATGGCTAACCCCATATTTTAGCCAAAAATATTATACAAACCTGGAAATTTTTTTCATGGATGCCCAATCTTATTATTTCCATTAATTCTGATTCGTTATTGATTACATCCAATCAGCACATTGAAAACTCAATTCTCCCCTGCCATTTGAAAATAAAATTTTTTTGTTTTCTTTTTATAAATCTCTTAGTCGTTATAAAGAGGAGCCTTCTTTATATAATTCTTTCATTAATTAGGTAACAGGGTACTTTGATAAATGGGGTGCTTTGATATCTTGGTTAGTTGTATTTGAAAGTATACAATATTGGGATATAAGAACCCCAAACTAGGGATGTGCCTTGTACTATATGAATCATGATTCGATTATAAACGTGTGCATATCTCAGAATTGGCACCAGATTGGCAGTCAAATTTTTGGATTTTAGAATCGGCCGATCGAAAAGATGTTCGGGAGTGAATTGGAAAATTTATAAACCCATATCCAAAACGTAAGTCTCAATTTTATTCGGCGACATAAGCCCCACCCTTATAATTAATAAACTCATTTGTTATAACATTCCAGGTCGATTTTAAAAGGTGTACTTATTTGCCTTTGTTTGACTTTTTTTAAAACATTTTATAATGGACAGTATTTGGATGGATGGTATATAAATAAATAAATATAATTTAAACAGAATCATATGTTGGATTTTGATAACTGGGTTATCTTATGACGAACCCGGGATTATAAACAAACCCCAGGCGGAACTAAACCAGCGGATCTGTATTTCCTTCGAACAGAGTCTAATAAGAATATGATGATGAAATAAACCTCTCGAGTTTATATAATTGTCAGCTCGGTGTTGATGATTGATCTGACATAGAGAACTGTTTATAAGAAAATTTCAAATTGTAAACAGAAATGTCACCTATTGGTGAAGGGAAGTAAAGTGGCATCGCAAATTAGATGAAAAGGAATAATGGCCCCACTTCCCCCCTACCTCCTACCCCCCCTAACTTGTAATAAACGTCTAAATCTTAAAAAAAAATCAATCTTTCTTGTGGATAAATTATAATGTTAACCTCCATTTTATTATCCAATGTTCCAGTATCGAGGCCTGACGATGACCCATCTTTAAGGGGAGATGCGGTGGGCGAATTTCCTTGATCCCCGCGAGGCCCTGAATCCGTATTGGATATCTGCAAATGAGAATGCGACCCAGTTCCGGTGCTGGAAGAGCTCGAGTGGAGAAACTTTATTTTTTTAATTAATTTTTTTTTCTAATTTATTTCCACCAGGAAAATATTAGGATTAAAAAAATTTTTAAATGCTTGCGTCGGAGTTTCCCGTTTTAAAAATTATTGGAGTATGGAAAAGAAAGTGTTTTTAAACCCGCCCTTCTCACTAAGTGAATTATGCTGAGAACCCAGCTGCCCACCCCTCAAGATAACTAAATTTTAAAATGATTCAATTAAAAAATGGATACCTGACTATGCATGTAGTTCTAGAGGTCTGCAATGGGCGAAAGAAGGTTCTTCTAACTCTCCCTCTCCCTAAGTAAATTATGCTGAGAACCGTCCGTCCCCCCATAAGATAACTAAATTATAAAATGGATACCTCACCATGTAAGTAGTTCTAGAGGTCCTCAATGGGCGGATTTTGACCAAAAAAGCCAGCCATCTCGTTATTTTACTACCTCCCCGCGTTTTCCCCAAAATTCCCTAGCTCCACTCCCTCGTTTATATAAAAATATTGCCAGCCCCAATGTTTAAAAAATGTTCTAATGGCCGGTTTGGCTTATTAATTTATCCATTTTAATCTAATCATTAATTAAACTTATAAAATATGCAATATTACGAAACTGATTTCGCCAGAATTTTTTTTTTAAATTCAACTGTCCATCGTCCGCCTTATTTTCTGCTCAACGTAGACCTCCGTGAATTACTCCACCCACCCACCCACCCCCACTTGAAGTTTCGTTAAAGCAAAAAAATTTGTTGCAAAGCACCCCCCTGCAGATCTTAAAGGGCCTTGGAGGAACGGGTGTGCCAATTAATAATAAATTAAACGAAGATTAACGATGAAGCAAACTTGGAGGGTTTATTTTCAAAAACGAAGCACTGTACACTATCATTAAAAATGTTGTTCGGATTCAAGTGAGAAAAAAAAATCATGAATAGGGTTCGGGTTCGGATCGGATTACGGAAATGACATTTAAGGACTCGTAGAAATTTAAGGTTATAAATATTAATAAAAAAAACAAACACCAGTTTTTTTTTTTGGTTTATTCATTTAATTATATTCGTCATAATGAAAACTTGAACCAATGAACACTAAAAAAAATATGTCAGGTCGAACTGAGGGAAAGAATTGGATAGGAGATTGGGGCGATAATGAGAAGAAATAGACTGGGGTAGTTTGGGCATGTTGAAAGAAAGACGCAAGACGATTGGGTTAAAAGATGCGTTTGTTGAAGGTAATGGGATCAAAGCCTCGAAGAAAACCAACGAAGACGAGGGTGAAGGTGATAACGGGCGACATGGAAACTACGGGTGCTAACAATCAGCGATACCCGGTACCATAAAAATAAGGAGGAAACGGATCCAGAGGAGAAACGGTCATTATTAAATCGATTATGTTTTAAAGACAATAATGAATTTTATTTGTAATTCTTTTGTATATATACATTTATATAATTTATCCAATTTAACTTCTAATAATGTGCAATTTGATTAACCTCGATAATATATTACATGTCGGAAAGTTATAATAATACACAAATAACGTCCTTTTAAAATATATAACTTCATTTTAAATATATACGATATTCAAATATAACAGTCATAACCGAATAAACCTGGGTAACCATTAATAAACATTTGTAGAAGACCGAAGACGTGATTGCAACAGCCACCCCCCCCTCCACACAAATAAATTGGAATCCTATTCTCAACATGGCAATATTGTGTAACATTTTAAAAGTGGTGGCCAAAACAAGTCTCGAACTCGCGACCTTCACGTAGGGACGCACTTCCGTATAATTTGGTCACTAGGTGTACTTCCTTCGTAATAAAAAAAACGCTCAACAAACTTTCAACGCTTTACTTACTAATTAGGTTTTCAACGTTATTCCGTATATCCAACGCTTTCCCTACTAACTAATTTTACACGCTATTCCAAAAAAAATAAAATATCAACCTGTACACTATGACTTGGTCACCACTATTAAAATGTATACACTATTCGGACTCTCTAATTTGTTTTAATTAATCTCCAAATATAATTCAAAATTAAACAAAATAAACTATCATAAAAAGGTTCAATAATTAATTAAACCGTGAGAGGACAAAATAAGAATTCATATTTTTTTTAACCTTTTTTTAAAAAATATTATTATTTTTTTCTATAATGCTGACTCGTTAAATTAAGAATATTAATTTTTATAAAAATCAAAAAAAAAGAAAATATTATTTTTAACTTGACAAAGTAATAATAATCCTCCCAACTATAACACGCCCCCCCCCCTTATTAGGCGTATACGCTAAATCCTCCATCCTCGCTCTCGCCTAGAATTTCCTCTAATTCTTCATCCGTTATAAAGAATTCCACCATTTTGACCCATTCTTCTCTCCTCTAGGCGAGAGCGAGGATGGATTTGGCGTATCCTGATGGGGGGGGGCGTCATAGATGGTAGGATTTTTATTACTTTGTCAAGTCAAAAATAAATATTGTCTTTTGTCAAGTCATCTATATAGAAATTAATATTGTTAATTTAATGATATATTTTGATTATTGGATATTTATTTTTTGGAAAAAATTATTAATAAATGAATATTTTATTCCTCATGGAAAATAAAAATATAAAAGCCTAAAAAAAGGTAAAAATAAAATAAATTCTTATTTTATCTTCGCGGGTTATAAATTATTGAATGTTTTTTGATGACATATATAAAACCTAGACTGACGATTCATTCATTAAAGGTGTACATCAATGCAAATCAGCTGGAGACGCCATCTTGGTTACACTAATCACTATTAAAATTTTAAACGAGAGCCTAATTTATTCCTATATCTGTTGCAAATTTTATTAAAGAATTACCGGATCATCGAGATAATAAGGAAGCAAGTTATCAATTTAATAGTAGTTTTTAACATGAGAATAATTACTATACGTGTTACCAAAATGGCGGGTCCAGCTGATTTACTTTTGACGACCCTTAAAAATGCATTTTAATGAATGAACCGATCGTCAGTCTAGGTATTATATATGTCATTGATGTTTTTATATTAGTTAATTTTGTTTAATTGTGAATTAAATTTGGAGATTGATAAAACAAATTAAGTCCGAATAGTGTGTAACATTTAACACTAAAGGCCGCATTCGTAGTGGGATCCGCTCTGACACGATTTAACAGCTGATTGATTTTTTTAAATCGGTTTATGAGAATCAATATTTCTTTTGTTAAAACCAATATTTCTTAGGTTATTATCATGTATGGAATTAAAGATGAAATTAATATTATTTTAAAAAAAAATTGATCTCATAAAACAGATTTTAAAAATCGATCAGCTGTTAAATCGTGTCGGATCGGATCCCACTATGAACGCGGCCATTTAAAATACAGCATGAACACATTTTATAATTGAACTGAGATACATTTTTCTTTATATACATTATAATTAATAAGGGATCATTTAGGAATGATTCAAATTCAAGATACAATTTAGACCTCACCAGGAATCTCCGATGTTATATTTTTGATATTAAATCATCACTTCGTTTGGTATGGGCCACAGTTTGGATGGATGCTCTTTTGTGAGGTGTATAATGAGGGATTGTTTGAGGGGGTCGAACGCATACGAGCTTGAGCTTAGATTCACGGCATGAGGATAGGTGTATTTCCAAGTCGATTCTATATATATCAAATATATTATAATTCATTATATAAATAAATATATAAATTTGACTTGTTCCTGTCTAAGAAGACCACGTGATTCAGTTAAATAAATGGGTCTTATTGCATTTTAGCAAATTTGGTCGTTGTTTAGCAAGTAGTCCAACGATATCATTACCCGACATATATAGTATAATTTGAGTGACGTATATCCGTTTTGGGGAATAAAAAAATGCGCCCAATTTTTTATGCTAATTTTGGATGAATTTTTGCTAATTTTGGGATATGTATTTTATTCTTTTTTTTGAACCGAACCCAAAATAGAATCCCATATACGTCACTGTGATAATTATTTTTTTAAAAAAATTAATAAAACAATAAGAATACCAGCTATTTTGACGGAGCAAACTTGGGACAAGATTTTCACGTTGATTTGCGAAGATTCGATGGATGGGGATAAAGTTATGTCGATCGTAAATGTTTCGGTGGATTGGAAAATTTTTATATCTGTTCGTTGGGGTTAAAATAAAATTAAAATAAGAAATTTGAGGTAAAAATAATCATAAAACATGTGTATTAATTGAGGTTGTGCCGATATCGAATAAAGGATCGAGCGCGATACTTACGGGCTTTTTTTAAAGGATCGGACCGATACTTTTCAAAAAAACCGACCTGATATTATCGTTTTCCTCTCTTTCTATGATCCGTGAAAACAATTTTTCTTTCAAATTTTTGATCCGCAGTTAGAGGGGAATGTCTATCATAGTTCGGCCGATCGGTTTTGAAACGGATCTGACTGGTTCGCGCTCTAACATAGACTAACCCTAGCTAGCTAATAGAGTTCGGATAAAATCGAATGAATATATTAAATGCAATTTGTTATTCCTAAAATTAATTAGTTTTTATTGAAATCAATTTACAATTACAAATTAGTATAATTTTCTCTTCGGGTAATTGATTTTACAACCACCCATTTACAAAATAAAGCCCATTCATTCTACACACCATTAACCTTATTAGAAGAGTCTTTCCCTGGTTTGGAATTTTATGAATAGTAAAATTAATCCGAGATAAATAGTTACCTTTCATTTGATTCCCCCTTACCCACAACACTCAGGCTAGCACCCCAAGACCTAGAATTCTCAGTGTTCCCGCATTGGCCGATTTCCGAATTCTTTATCTCATCCATCGATTCCATCTTGATGGAGATTTAAAACAATTTTATCAAATAGTCTCTATGCCCTATTGCGTTCTTTCGAAAATCTATTTTTTTAGCTCATTCCCACGCATTTTAGACCTCGCCCCGTTTTTCTGTATAATTTAGCCGGCTTTCCCAATTTATTGATTTTTTTCTATAAATACTTATTAAATTAATCATTCCAGTAAAAATACACTTTTTTTTAAAAAAAAAATGGTTGATTCCAATTCGCTCTCATCTATCACATTTCCGTTACAATAAAAGTGCTAAACAATGCATAAATCGATTGTGTATGAATGACATCACGGATCTGACCATCCTGCAAATCATTCGAAATTTAATTTACTTGTTCTAGGTAGGGTTTAAATTATGTCTTTCAATGTCATATTTTATATATATATAACTCTTTTTTCATAACCCCCCTTTGGGGTTAAAATACATTTTAAACATTTGTTATTCGTTATGACTAAAAATAAAGATTCCACTAGTATGGTAAAACCAGTAGGTCTAATGCGGGTGGGAGTGCCATTGTCTCAATATTTTTTCAGGAGTTAGAGTGTAAAACTGGGCGTATCGCCTCCGATTTCTTTGAAGACGCGGACAAATTCTAGCAAAAACTGCCGTAATTTTTTTATTAGGAATCGTGGGCCTTTAAAACATATTTTCTGATATATATCAGAGACCTGCGGGCGCGGCCCTAAGCCCGGCCGAAGTACACGAGCCGGGCCGTTGTACCGGTCGGGCCGGGCTGGGCCTAAAAAAATTTTTTTAAAAAAAACCCGGGCTGGGCCGTGCAAATGCCACCTCTGCAGGTCTCTCATATATATTAAATACAATTATTTTTTTTTAACTTTAGTCCATGGTTCACCTTCGTATTTTACCGATATCTTCCTAATTTAGGCTTTATGATCATGAACCATGATAACTATTGATTCATACAACCCGCCCCCATAAGAATCTTATGAAGTTATTACATTATACCCCCAACCGCGGTTTAAGGCACCACTATTTATTATATGATTTGAATGCTCTTTGTGATGATCAAAATCTCCTTTAAAAAAATCGACGCCGCGATTATGCGCAGACGCGTGCGTTTTTTCGGGATGAGTCGTAAACAAACGTTCTAAATGAATGAATGAAATGCGTGGATAGCTATTATATCCTTTTTTTTCCTTCCTGGTTTAAGGTCTAGCAATTGGCTTGTTTAAAGTTAATTATTGTCCTTTTAATTTTAGCGTAGCTTAAAACTTAAAGTAAACTTGATACAGTTAATATAAATTTTAGAAAAAATAAATATTTAAATTTCGAAATTATCGCCTAAGGCACGAGAATCGGAGAAAGGAAATTCGTTATCTTTACACGATGATTCCCTTATTTTAAAAAAATCAGTGTTTTCGTGCAAAGTGGTAAAACTTACCGTTTGGTGTTAGTTAGCAACCATTTTTTATAAAAAAACGCGAATAGGTTTGCTTTATTCAATACTCTTCTGGTATTTCAATTAAATAAGTTCATATTTTTAATTTAATTTCTAAGTACTTGAAGTAAATGGTCAATTTGTGCGCCACGATTATTTAATATCCATGTAACTAAAGATGACTTCATATTTATTCATTAAAAATATCTAAAGATTATAAATAATAATCATCATAACTATCCAGCTTCCATATATTCTTCACCCCAAAAGCCACCTCAAGAAAGCTCCATTGTTTCTCACCAACCCACGTGATGATCACGTTGTCTCTCCATCCACCAGGAAAACTTAATTCCCCTGTCAGATAATAACTGACATTTGATGTATTATATTAAATTTATTTCTTCTTTTTTTCAACAGCTACAACAGTAACATTGGTTGTTTTTTTAAAAAAAAAAATTTACTAAAGAAGACAAAGACCTGAGACCTGAAGAGGTTAAATTTTAAGTCCTGTAATTTCTTGTTCATTTATATTCCTAGTTGAGTCCCTAATTTTTTTTTTATTTGGCCTTAATATAGCTCTTTTTTTCAAATTCAGATTTTTAGAATATGAACTTTAATTTATAGTATGTCTGAACCGATTATTATTTTAATAAATAAAATTTGAATTATATATTTTGGATAATTTTTGATAAATCGTCGGTCTAGAATTGAATTGGAGTGCTCCATTCGACATTTTCAAAATTTTTGAGTTAGAAGTTGATAATAACTTATTTATTTCCAATATATATATATATATATAAATAAAAACTAGATTTAAAAAAAATATTAATTTTTGCCAAAGTCATTGTCCAAAATTGAATAATAACTTTTTCCTATATTTTATTTTAAACTTTATTAATGTTGATCTCATTTTAAACATTTGCGCAAGTGGAGCACTTCAATTCTAGGCCAACAAAATGATAAATAAATACTTTTAATTTGTATGCCCATATTTTAAAGGATATCATTTATACTGTGGCGATGAAATTTAAAATAAAATAATATATATATAGCTCAATATTTTATGATAAATATCTAATTATATAGAATTTATAATGCTATATATTTAGAACATGCAATATGTTATAAGATGGATAAAAAAAAATAAGGGAAAATATAAATAGAAAAGGATTATTTAAGCCTCAATATTGTCCTTTTATTATCATGATTTTTTTTTCATAATTGTTTACTAATTATACTAATTATATATTTTTCAATGATGATTTATATAAATGATATAACATATAAAATTATAAATTTAAAATATTATTATTTGTAAATATGTATTAATCTAATCTAATATTTAAAATATTATTCATTTAATAAATATTTAGACATAAAAGAATCATAAATATATAAAAATAATTTATTACTAAAAAAAATTTATTACTAAAAAAAATTTTAAAAAAGGTGTGGGGTCAATCGAGCAAGGAGTGGATAGGAAATTAATTTTAAAAATATTAATATAAATTTAAGATTAATTTGATTAAGCAATATATATAATTTATTCTTTTGCTGTCTGTATTATTATTACAAAGTGAAATTTTTCCACAAGTCAATAAGATCCCTGATATAAGAGATTTTATTTTTTTAAAAATTATTGCATTTTAATTTTATATTGAATAAGAGGAATAGAATATACAATGTTTAAAATTGGGCTTTTTTGCTCCCAAAATTAAAAGGATTCATCTATGTGGTAGGAAATATTTTTTTTTTAAATTGTCTAAGTCCCCAATTGACAAATTGTTTTAATTAAGCAAATTTTAATTGATATATATTATTTATATAAAATAATACTTATAGCAATTCAGTACAATTGTTAAAAAATGTACTAAGCAGCTCTATATTTTAATATAAGATTTTTAAGAAAAAATAACCATGAGAATATTATTTTATATTGATTTCATTTGTGTTAATCCTATAAACTAAAATTATAATTTTACATTTCTTAAATAAGAATAATAGTTTTTTTTAAAAAAAGGATATATGAAATAATTTAGCAAATAATTTTTATTTTTTAATTTGACAACATAAAAAAAACTCACTTTTAATTAGAATTTCATTAGAGAGAAATCCATTCTTGTTTGTATTTTTAAATGGCAGAGCATTAGTTAATTCATTAATCATTCCCATGTTTGTATTAATATGTGTGGATTTATAGATTAATTTTAAGCTATCAATTTCTTGAGGATATTTAATTATATCTACTAATTTAACACTGCATTTAGGAAATTCTTTGTAATTTTTATTATAATAAGGAATTTTGTCTTTAAATTTTCTCTTTTTCCTTTTTATATTATTATTGTTATTATCAATATTTTCTTTATTTGATATATCAGAATTATGGTTAAAATATAGAAGTTTCGATTTGAATTTTCTTGGGTAGGTTAAATATTTGTTAATATGTTGTGGAATAAAATCAGAATGTCCAACCATAACAACATATTCTTAGGAAAATATTTTAATAACTGATTATAATTATGTATATCGAATTCCTATGGATTTAAAGTATTTTATTGCATATCTCAGTTAAGGAACCTAATTAGACGAAGTAAGTTTCGATTTTAATAAATTCACCATCTCAATTTGATGTTTTGGTTGTAGGTGTAGTAAAATTAGAAAAAGCGCTATATTAGGTGAAGTCAGATGTTTATAAAAGGAAACCATTTTTTTTATATATATATTTCTAAAAGGATAAATAAAAATTTTTTATTTTTTATTTTTATTTTTTATATCTAATTATCTTTATTAAATTCCTAATATATGAAATATTACATAAATAATTCTTTAAAATATAAAAAAACTCAATCTATAAAAAGGGAGGTGGGATCACAAGTTTCTAAAACCATGGATACTTATGTTTTAAAATGATAATTTGTATAAATAAATTTTTTTCGGTTCTGATGTAAGGGCTCTTATTTTGCCGCCCATATTTTTTTTAAAAAATTTAAGTTCCAGATGACAAGAGATAACGATTGGTAAAAAAATAAAATTTTTATATTTCGAATATTTAATTGTTTTTTTTTCTCAGCTATATCAACCGGGTTCGGAATATATATTATTTGGAAATAAATAGGCTCACGTGAAGTCACAAATTAATGATTTAACAAAAAGGCACTATTTTTTAAAATAAAATATAAAAATTATCATTTTAATATATAATTTTTTAGGTTTATTTTTAAAATCTCAATTTTATTTTATAAATGTATATTTCCTGCAATTAATATTTTTTTAAATTATTATTTAAAATTCGGATATCTGACTAAAAAAAGTACAACCATGTGGGGAATATACCTATAATAAACTAATTTAAAAAATGATTCTTTAGAAATATATAAATGTAGTCGCATTCACATCTCTAGATCTAAACTTTGGTGACAGCGTGGGTAATATATTTTCTAGGTAACAGCCCCATATGACCATCTATCTATCAAAGAGGCCATCCTAACATAGGCGCCAACTTCATGGAGGCAGCGTATGTTGCACCTCCTATTAAGATATTTAACGCATGAGATATAATTGATCTATTAATATTTAAACATTTATTTTTTATTCATTGAGTTAATTATTTAAAAAAAAAAATTTATTAGAAAGGTTATATTGTAGTGATTGCGAACACAGTGATTGACATGCAAGAATCCTTTATCCTTATCATATGGTTTGGAGGAAATATTGAGAATTGCAGGGGATTATGGAATGGGATATGGATGTTTATTGTATTATTATAATGTTTTTAACAGATTAATTATAATTAATATTATTTGTACAAATGGTTTATTTAATTGCAATATAGGACTAACATGAAGTCCAATTTATATATATATGCTACACATAAAAAATAAACTCCAAAATAGCCCATATATATAAAAATTACTTAAAAATACTAAATAAAAATTATTTTTTATAAAACTATTTCCATTACTATGTTGAACCATTAATAGAATTGCTATCACTTTGATAAATAGTTATCAATGGCATGTAGGAAATAGTAGGCTTCATATTGCCCCTTTGTGGCTTAATTTTTCCCTAACAATAAAATAATTTTAGTATTCCTGACCAAAAACATCAAGAGTATTGGTTACATGTAGGATAAAAATTACCTTAGCTCTATCCGAATGTTTATTTATTTTAAAAAAATTTTAAACATAAATCTTTCTTAAATATACTAGGGTAGCATATAGATTTATTTCTAAATAACACTTTTTAATAAATACGATTACTTATTCATTAATATTCTAATTTAAATATATTTGTTCTTCATTATGGAATTAATTTTTAATATATTAAGTAGTGTTGTTTAACTTTTCGATATGAGTCGATTTAAACGGCTAACTCAATATTTTAGCTAGAAAAAATACTGTCTAAGTCTAGATATTTTAATAGATATTCAAACCTTTGTGTCACCTATGAGCAAAATCTTAGGTTTGTTTTTTTACCTAGTAAAATATTGAGTGTAAAATTCGGCTCAAAATGGGCCGTTTAACAACACTAAAATTACATTTTTACAGGATAATTTCTAGCTCTCAGTCAATGTCAACATTAATATCATAAATGCTAACATGGATTTAAATAACATATGTAAATTTAATATTATTGATATTGCAAAGTATTTATACAATATTCATTTTCATATAACTTAATATAGCGCAAATAATAATAAACAATATATAGCTGAAATTCCAAAAGTAGATTTGAGTTCGAAGTCTCAAAGTCCATTTGTTTACAGTGACACTTATGCATCAACATTTAACGATTTGAAGTACATATTTAAATAAAATATCTACATTGATAACAATTTAGCATATTGGGTACGGAAAGTAGAAATAATTATTTGTTAGAATTGGATCCAAAATATAAAGGGAATACACTTGTCAAGGATATCAATTTGTATTGTCATCTTTGTAAATCTGCAATAAAGAATGACCTGCAATTTGTAGACTACAATACTTTTCACATATTTTTATTTTTTTTAGCATTTGACATCTAATCTCCATACTCAAAATATAAAAGATATTTTAGAAGACCCACTTTATAAAACTTTACATTCATTCAGCAATAATTGGGAAAAATAAAAAAAGAATTTTTGACCTTGATAGTTATTATAATAATATATATATATAATTACGTATTATACCTCTATGCTTGATTATATTTTAATAAAGAGACTTGTACCATTTATCTAACATATTTTTTTTTATTTCATTTTACCTTTTGTATTATTATGTTCCATTTAACAGAATAAGAAGAGAGGAAAATTTTCCTTGGCGTAAAAAAATTCCTTTCAAAATAATAAAATTTGGATCAATAAAAATAATGATTTACTTATTATATACTGAATTATTATTTTTTGGTATTTGCTTATCTTTTCTAAATGCTGATGATGACTAATCATAAAAATTATATTTGTATTTTATTTCAAGGCTCAGAAAATAGGCCAAAATGGATAAAAACCCTTCTTTAAGTTTAATGTCTACTTGATAATCATTTAAACGTTTTTCTGGGTTTAATTGTTGGTTATATGTTGTTGTTTTTTTCATAAATGAACATTTTTCTTGTTTTTCTGTTGGTTAGTTATTTTTCTATTAGTTAATATTTTAATTGATATCTAAAAGATTTATTCCTTCTGGGCCCTACTCATATTTATATGTATTTTTAAAATTCTAAATACATTATATTTCAATCATATTTCATATGATTACAAGCAGATTAATCACTGATACCAAGTTTTTGCTCATTCAAATACCAAATTGGGCATAACCTCTGTTCCAAAAAAGAATGTCATTTAATGAATGTCATGAATTTGTCAAATATTTTCAGATTTTATTTCTTTATAATTAATATATGAACAAAATTTCCGGAATTAAAAGTATGAAAATAGGAATATAAAAAAATAAAATAAAGATCACCTTCCTTTCTTCTCAGCTTAGAAATTTATATATCAAATCTTTTTATCACAATGACCAAGGTTTCAAGGTCTACATTGAGTAGTAGACTACAACAATTTTTTTTTAAAAAGATTGAAATCTTCCACACTCAATTTAACTTACCACTTAAGACATTTCTGAAATATACCACAAACACAAATTTCCCACATTCCAAATTTTTTTCAAATTTACGTTTAAATCTTACCTGCCTACCCTCCTGATCATGACTCAATGTGGACAGATTTTATTAGATATTAATGACCAGTGTTGCTAAACAGCTCAAATTTAAACCGATTTTTCAAAATAACTACCTCATAAGTCAGATTTAGCTAATAGATGTCTCAAATCTTTGTGCTATATATGAACAAAATCTTCTTTGGGGGGTGGGGGAGGTATAATATTAAGTTAGCCGTTTAACAACACTATTGTTGTCTGATTCAATATGAAAATAATTTTTTATTATTTTTGGATACATATTGTAAATTTGATCATTATTTATATTTTTATCCTACTCACTATTTGTGGATGTTTAGGTTTAGAGATCTACAAAATTATTTCTTGCAACATAAATAATCAAAATCTAAGGTATACGTTTTTCATTATATATTTTGTTTTAGGTCGAGTTGGGTAAGGAATTTGTAATATTTTATGCTCGGGTTAGTTAGGGCTGGAATTATGTATTTTTTTAAAAATTTAGGGTTAGGGGCAGGAAAATTCTTTTGGGTTGGGTTCAAAAAAAAATAAAAGTTGTTTCATGCAGGGATAAAATTTCTCGGTATTGACCTGATATTAGTTATTGTATCTTCCAACTATTTTTTTTTCTCTTACTCGAAATAAAATTCCGATGAAAATTCAATTTCTTAAGCTGTTAACAACCAAAAGAAATAAATACTCATTCCCAAACAATGTCCATTGTTCCTATGGTCACTACAACACTTGTAAGTAGGGGTGGGACCAATACCAATATAATATTGGTTTACAATACCAATATAAACCAATATATATTTAAATATTGGTATTGCTTTTACAACCAATACCAATTACCTAAATATATTGGTTTTGATATATTGTTTAAATACAATTTTAACCAATACCAATATTAAAAATAACATAATTATTTGGGTTTATCGTGGATAATTATATCGTGGTATTTTTTTTACTTTCATTGCAAAAACTGATTACATCTGTTATTTTTTCCAAATACTACTGTGATATCAATATTTCTGTTATTTATAATTACAGTTTATTTTTATTATGGAAGTAAATTTTTTACATGATATCTATCAATTTTATCTATTTATTTAGGATATTATAATAAATGAAGACCAAATAGAGTTAATAAATATAGATGCTGTTGGTACTAATAATAATAGCGATAAGGAACAAGAAGAATTATCAATATCTAATAAAAGACGAAATTCAGCAAAAATCTGGGAATTTTATACTACTTGTGTAATAAAAAAAAGGCAATTTGTAATAAATGTAAAAAAAAATATCACTTCCCAATTTTGGAACCTCAGGATTATGGACACATCTTAAATCCATCCACCCAACATTATATAAGAAATGTGAGCAAATAAATATTGGCAGTAAAAAAAATTAAGACAATAAAATCATTTTTACTTAATAATATAAATAATAAAGCTAATTTAAATAATTTAATTATAAACTTTTTCATTTAAAATAATTTAGCCTTTTCAATAGTTGAGGATATCACTTTTAAAAATTTAATAGCATATTGTAACCCTTCACTAACATTAGTTTCTAGAAAAACACTAAAAATAGAAATTATGAAACATTATCATAGTTCTTTTATTAAAATCTGTACTTTCTAACATTACATCTAAATTTTCCTTAACAATGGACATTTGGTCCTCTCCAAATAAAATACACTTTTTGGGCAAACAATTCATTATATTGATAATGATTTTAAATTAAATAATCATTTATTAGATTTTATTCCTTTTAAATCAGCACATAATTCTATTAATATTTTTAATTCTGTATTAAAAGTAAAATTTGAAATTGATTTTTTTTGCATTACATAAGACAATGCAAGTAATAATTTAGCATTTCTAAAAATTTTAAAACAAAAAGATAATTTTGATAATATGTGCAAATGCTTTTACCATATTATACATTTGGCTGTCATGGCTGCATTGGAACCCTTAAATACAACTTTTAAAAAAAAAGAAATTTTTTAAAAATTTTTAAACTTTCTATTTCTAAATTTAATAAACTCGAAAAAATATATCTTGAAAAAAATCGACACTTAAAATTTCCTCACCCAATTTGGATATACCAACACGTTGGAATTCAACATACCAAATGCTTGAAAAAGCAATATTGCTCAAACCCTATTTGACAACATATACCAATCATTTACAAAATACCAATCAAGAAAATTATATTAGTGCCTTAGCCTGGAATAATATAGAAATATACCGATAATTTCTGGAACCATTTAATTTCAATATTTATAAAATAAATAAAAACAATTCAGCGGAACTTACCAATGAAGCACAAAATAACAAAAAATTGTCCTTTTATGACAAAATTTATCAGGTGAAACCTCATAATAAAAAAAACTTAGATATAAGGAAATACGTAGATGAAGCCACAATTTCCAATGATACAAATCTATTAGATTGGTGGAAATTAAATAAAAATAGATATCCAGTATTATCAAAAATTGCCAGAGATTATCTAGCAATTCCGGCCACCTCATCTAGCTCTGAAAGGGCTTTTTCAGAAGGACGGTATGTTATAACAGACCAACGTTGTTCACTAGATCAGCATACTATACAAGCTTGCCTGTGCCTAAAAAGTTGGATGCTCATGCAAGATTCTTCTTAAATACATAAAATTATTTCCTCTTCTTATATTAAAATTATATCATTCTTTTGCATTATATTTTGTATAAATAGGCAGTTATGTTACATTTTTAGTTTACTTATTTTGCTATGTTCTTTGTGATAAATAAAATGGTTCAAAATCAATACGTTTATTATTGTTGATACAAAAAATACATGATTAAATCAAAATTTTTTATATTCACATCACCTAATGAATTCCTAGTTTAAAAAAAGAATTTGAATTCAGTAAAATTTTGAGAGTTGGTTCTTAGCCCTGATTTTATGGTATCATGATTTTTTTTCCCATGTTTATTTAAAATTAGAAATTAAGGGTTTTATAATCACTATTTCTATTCTTTTACTTAGTAATTTGAATTTAAACCAATACCAATATAAACCAATACCAATAGCAATACCAATACAAGAAATAGAAAATATTGTTTAAACCAATACCAATATTTTAGACCCAATACCAATACCAATACAATATTTTGTTAATATTGGGTTTTTACTATTAGTTCCCAGCCCTACTTGTAAGTGTGGACATGAGGCCCTCACCTTTTTAAAATTTATATAAGAAAAACGATTTCAGTACTATCCAGTGATCCTAAAGATTACTTTTATCTGCCCCAAAATATTGGCTTAAAAATTTGCAGATCATATTTATTATCAATCCGTGGTTCTATTCAGTTTTCTTAGAATTTTAATATCCTATATTATTATTTGATATGGCTTTCAAAATTTATTTTATCATTTTTATAAATGTTATATGGTTATATATGTAAATTTTTTTCAATATTTTACATATTCCTTAAATAAAAAAAAGTTTTTCATTTGAATTTTATAAAATATGTTAAAAATAGATTACAATTTATTTTAGCCCATTTGCGTCAAAAATAGTTTAAAGAACTTTAAAAATAACCCTAATGACAATTGTCACTTTTCCATGGTACATCTTCACGGAATTTTAACTTAACATGTTTACAACCTGTATTTTAACCCGTATGAGTCATAATAATTCAAATAACTTTAAAAATAATTGTCACTTATCTAGGGTAAATCTTCATTGAAATTTTTTTTAAACATGCTATCAATAATTGTTTTAACCCATCATAAAAACGATATGACAATTGTCAGTTTTCTATGGTACATTTTCTCTGAAGTTTAATTTATTTAAACATGTTAGATTATTTTAGCCCATTTACGTCAAAAAAACTTTAAAAATAACTATTATGACAATTGTCACTTTTATATGGTACATTTTAATTGTAATTTTATTTAACATAATATTATCCTTAAAAAGATAACATAAA